CAGACACAAACAAGTTATAGCCATATGAAGACTTATATGCTTTTTTAATATAATTTTTCGAGGCTACAGGACATGAGTAGCCAGGGGAGACGGCACCAGCTGAGAAAAGGCAACAGCAGGGAGCTGCTGTGCCGACTGCCGTCAAGCCAGCCCTCAGTTCGGAAACGACTGACAAGCCCTCCTTCGAGTTTTACGGGCACAACTACAAGAGAAATTACGGTGACCTCGTTCGAGAGTGTCTTTCAAAATAAAAGCGCAACTGAACTGAACGTGCAAATGAACACTTTTTCTGTATGTGTTCAATTTTGTCTAAGAGAAAACGGCATTTTAATGAAAAAAATTTAAATAAATACTTTTAAGAAAAAGAATGAAAACGATTTAAATAAAATTTTCTGTAACATTGTGTGCAAGAAAAACTACGTTGTTAATGATTTTTGTCTATTTTAAAAGTACTTTTAATTAAAATAACGAACACAATTTAAAGATCTGATGTGACATTTCAAAATAAAGTGCAAAGTAGTCAAAAATGACAATTTTCCCCATATTCAATGGTTAGTTTCTCAAAAAATGTCTGATTGCGAAACATCATTCCACATCAGTCCGGAAGTACACATCGAGTACTACATCTTCCCCGACTTTCATAAAGATCTGATGTGGCATTTCAAAATAAAGTGCAATCCAATTTATCAATAATGACAATTTTCACCATATTCAATGGTTAATTTCTTAAAAACTGTCTGATTGCAAAATATCATTCTACATCAGTCCGGAAGTACACATCGACTACTACATCCTCATCGACTTTCATTAGGATCTGATTTAGCATTTCAAAATAAAGTGCAATCAAATTTGTCAATAATGACAATGTTCACCATATTTAATGGTTAATTTCTCTAAAACTGTCGATTGCAAAACATAATTCCACATCTTTCCGGAAGTACACATCGAGTACTACATCCTCCCCGACTTTCATAAAGATCTGTTATTGGTTTTGTGTTTCAGTTTATGTTGCTCGTCAAAATAAACGAAGAATCTTTTCATCTCTAAAGATGAACAGTGTTACCGCGATCCTTCAGCATTAATTCGCAAACAGTACAAGAGATCCAGTTGCACCTTCATTGCAAGTGGCCGCCGGTTCTGAGGACTGTCATCTCACAGCTTGTAAGCTCTTTCAAATGAATCCAGTAGCTTTGTGCTAAACGCTGCTAGTTTTGAGATGTTTCTTTTATTATTATTATTTTTTTTTTTTTTGTTCATTTGCACAAAGATGTGTTAGATCAGGGGTGTCAAACTCATTTTAGCTCTGGGGCCACTTTGAGGAAAATCTAGTTCCAAGTGGGCCAGACCGGTAAATTAAAACCTGCTTCTCCCAGTCAATGAGAGCGCACCATCTGTAGCGAGGCTTACAGCGCGGGACCATTGCACTCCAACCCTGTCCAGCGCTCCAACGAGTGCGGTGAAAATATCAGCTGCTGTTGTTGCATCCATCATGGGCACCAGCTCAACAAAATCCTCTGTGACGGTCAACATGTCATCAACTCCGCGGATGAAAATCGCCAGTTGAGTAACATCTGTAATGTCCGTGCTTTCATTAATAGCAACTGAAAAAGCATTAAAGGACTTTACTTTTTCCTTCAATTGGCTGTCCAAATCCGCTGAAATATCAGAAATCCTGTCTGGAATTGTGTTTCTGGTCAGGCTGATATTTGCAAAAGCTTGGCGCTTTTCAGGGCACACAATCTCCGCTGCCTTCATCATGCACGTTTTTACAAACTCCCCCTCACTAAATGGTTTTGAAGCCACTGCAATTTCATTAGCAGTCAGGTAGCTAGCTTTCACTGCAGCATCACTGATATCTCGGCTGTGAGTAAACACAGCCTGCTGTTACTTCAGTCCGGCCAACAGTTCATTCACCTTCTCTCTTCTCCGCTGTCCTTCAAATTTGTCATATTTTTCGGCATGAAGATTCACATAATGGCGACGAAAATTATATTCTTTCAGCACTGCAACATGCTGTAAACACACTAAACACACAGCTTTTCCGTTCACTTCCATGAAAAAATAAGGGGATGTCCATTTTTCTTGGAACAACCTGCACTCTGTGTCCACTTTTCTCCTTTTTGACAGAGACATCTTGGGCTGAAGCACAAAATGTAGACGCCGGATTAGATATCGGGGCCAAAACAAAGTAGCTCGTCAGAACACCTGTTGCACTTGGTTGACGTACTTGCCCTGGCTGAGGATAAACGGCTTGCTTGCTTAACACAATGCCTATTACACCATCTAGTGAACGTATTGGGAACAGCAGGTTTTTAATTGAAAAATTAGAGTTTATTTTCACTCTACATTGTAAAGTATGAAAATAAAGTTTATACAACCATTTCGCGAGCCATATTTAACCCATTTGCGGGCCGAATACGGCCCGCGGGCCGTATGTTTCACACCCCTGTGTTAGATAATCTAAATCAGTTATATCTGCATCCCTAGGTTTGATTTTGTTAGCTTAAATCGTGGAGTTTCAGTTCTGGATTATGGCTGGAGATGGGGGGTTTTACCCTCCATCGTTGTGTAGATGTCCACAGTTAGCCGGATGTAACCAATAGCTTTCAAGGGGTCTATGCACAGTTTTCAAACCAGTTTAAAGAGCACCTGCATCTCTTAATAAAATTATCTTTTTATTTATTTTTTTATTTATTTATTGCAGTTTGTTCCAGACCTGAGCTGGATGACAACATCGACACTTCTGGGATCCAGAGGTTCATCAGTCCTGGGGTGGAGGTGGCGCTTTCATGCAAGCAAGGATACACTCCAGTGTTGGGCCCTCGCAAGATAGTTTGCACTGTCAGCGGACAATGGACAAAAACCAAATTCCAATGCATACGTGTGTCTCATTTTTTCATTTGATTATCACGTTTACAAGACATGTTATGGAAAATGCTTTTTTTTGTAATCCATCCATTTCAAACCACTGCACCATTTGGGTTGCCATAATAATTTTTTTCTAAAGTTAAAATGATAAATGTTTTATATATTTGTTTTCATTTTTTATCTTAATCCAATTCTTTGCACGTTTTCTTTTGTAGATTGGAGCGGAATCAAATTTATTTTTAGATTTTAGATCATCTGAAGATTGTTGATTATAATTTTCAATGTAAATGCATTTTATTTTTTGCATCTTTTATAAACTAAAGGTTTTATCTGCGCCTTCTCTATTTTTCTCATGTGCAGCAAAGCTGTGTCCATATCCTGATCCAGTCACTAATGGAGAAATGTACTACGAAGATACAACTTACCAGAGCATGATCAACTACACTTGCAATGAGGGGTAAAGAAATTAAAACCTCCTTGTTCCTTTTTTACTGTTGAATTGCATGTGTGCGAGTGTGCGTGTGTTAAAAAATACTTAGATGATTATATTTCAGGGCGAAATCCAATTTTTTACCATAAAATTGCTGATGTTTACAACCAATTTTCGCCTGGTGTGAGCCTGTGTTTCATTTTTATTTGTTTCATTTGCAAACAACTGACCAGATTTTATAACACTGGACAGATATATTCTGACTGGCTCCAGCTTTTCTGTGTGCCAAGCCAATGGAACGTGGAGTTCATCTGCACCACTCTGCACACGTACGTGATCTAAAATCCCATTAAATGAACCCAGAAAATTAAACTTTCATAATGTTAAAGACTGAATGTAAAAACGTGCAAAAACTGAGCAAGCCATGCAGAAATGCACACATCACATGCTGCATGAAAACCTGAAGAGTTTGAAACATTAACTGTATGTTTTGTTTCTCTTGTTAGCTGTGACATGTGGTCTCGCTCCAATCCCACAGTTTGGGCTGGTCATTTACAGCAGGAGGGTCAGAGGGGGCACCGTCGATTATGGCATGGTAGCAACATACTCTTGTCTGCCTCCATATGCAGTTTTTGGAAAGGCAACTGCTGAGTGCACAGCCTCTGGCTACTGGACCGAGACACCTGAATGTGAAAGTAAAAATTTTTTTTCCAACAACTCTGTTCAGATCCTTTAAACAGCACCTTGTTTTCTCAACAGATGGTTCGTTAAAAAAAAACTAAATAAACAGTCTAATCCATGGCTAAAATTTAAATGATGCCATTTCATAAAATATTTATTGGCTATAGAAAAGTTCCATTTAAAGGGGACAAATAACGCTAAACTTGTTTTTTTCATCATTTTGTTCTCCCATTGGGAGTAGAAGGAGTCACCGCTCATCTGGGTAAGGTGCTGGATCAAAAGTGGAATGAACAAGATAAGAATCCACACACTTCATTCTGCGATGTGAGAGTTTCATTAGTCAAGCTTTCGGTCAGAGACCTTCATCAGGAGTTGTTCACACAAAACAGTCCTTAGTTAAACAGGTCAGTTGATGTCAAACACCTGTGTGGCTGAATACAGCAAAGCATCATGGGAAATAGAGTCTCAGTCAATGAAAACAGTGCACTTAACATTAAAAAATATTCTAAATCAGCTCAAGAAGGGAGAGATTTATACATTGCAAACATCAATCTAAAAAAAGCCATCATTAAGCAAGGCAATGAAATATATAAAAATACAGCAGCATTTGCTTTCTTTAAAGAAACACAGACATCTCAAAATCCGCATTTAAACCTAGTGGTTGAAGTGTTTTCAACGTGTAGCTCCAGAGCAGTTCCCTTTGGCAGAGTTTTTATATCACCTCCTCTATGTAATGAAATATGTTCAATCCCCTGGAATCTGAGTGAAGACACGGTGTGAAAAGTCATTGAAATGGCGTGCTACTGGATAGGACAAGTCTTTTCTTCTAATTGAACTCTGATGTTCACTGATCCTCTGTTTGAGCGGCCTTGTTGTTTTTACAATATAGACTTTATCACAGGGGCATTTTAACAAGTAAATTACATTTTTGAGTTACAAGTAATTATGCTCTTAATAGAGAATTGTTTTCCTGTTCTAGGATGCCGGAACTCAGATGTTTTCACAGTGTTATGGCACTGAGCACAGTTTCCACAGGGATAGTTTCCTTGCTGCAAAGGAGCGAGAATTGACTGTTTTGGAGGGGGCAGAATATTGGCTTTCACTACTTTGTCCCGTAGATTGGGTCCCCTTTTGTAGACAAAACGAGGTGGATGTTGGAAAGCCCCTTTCAGGGCTGGATCCCCAGCCAAGATGTGCCAGTGTTTTAAAATAGTTTGCTTAATTGTATATGCATGGGGGGTAAAAGTAGTGATACATGTTACAGACTGGTGTTTTTCTTTGTTTGTACTTCTTTTTTTCAAAAGTTCAGATCTGGGTTTGGATAGTGCAGAGACATATGCTTCCTGAATACACTGATTAGCGCAGCCTCTGTCTTGAAAGTGTTGCTTTATTTCCAAACTCTTCTCCATATAGTCTTCATCCGAATGGCAAAGGTGCCTTAATCTAAAGAATTGGCTTTTAGGAAGACCATTTTTTAAGGAACCTGGGTGAGCGCTTGATGCGAGTAACAGGATATTGCGATCCTTTGGTTTCTTGTATAATGAGGTGATTAAACAACCATTTTTTATCTCCACCCACATGTCAAGGAAAGGGACACGTACTGGATCATACTGGAGGGAGAATTTCAAATCTGGGTTGCAGCTGTTCAGAAAAGATATAAAGTTCACCAATTCATCATAATCCCCCCGAAACAGGCAAAAGACATCATCCAAATATCTAAACCATTTGAGGATTTTATGGTGGAATAAATTCGTCTCTGGATTAAAAACAGACATCTCTTAAAAACATATTTAAATTGGCATAGTCTGGGGCAAAGGTCGAACCCATTGATGTTCCCTTTAATTGAAGGTAGAAATCCCCAATAAAGGAGAAAAAATTAAGTTTCAAAACTATGGATGCCAATTCAATTATGAATTCATTTGAAGGCAAGTCAGTGCAATCCTGTACATAGAAGCCTAGAGCATCCAGGCCTCTATCATGGGATATGTTGGTATAAAGACTTTTTACATCAAGGGTGACTAATACAACCTCTTTTTCTAGATTATCAATTTCTGAGATTTTATTTATGAAATCTGATGGAAGATTATATACACATGACTTAATGAAATGGTCAACAAAATCTGATAAAGGCTCCAGAAGGGAATCATTGCTGGCTACAATGGGTCTGCCCTTTGGATAAACCAGACTTTTATGTGTCTTGGGTAGCATGTCGAAGACAGGAGTGACAGGATGTTTACAGTTCAAAGAGTCATATTTATTCAGAGATATCCATCCATGTTGTAGGGCCCTTTCGGTATATTCAGAGATTTTTTGCTGGACACCTTGAGTGGGGTTAGTTTTTAGTTTCGTTTAGAAACTGGTATCATTTCGTTGGCGATAGGCTTCTTTTTCATAGTCATCCATATTTTGTATGAGAATTGCACCCCCTTTGTCTGCAGGTTTTATAATGATTTCAGGGTCCTTAGAAAGTTCCTGAATTGCCAACTTTTCATCCACAGAGATGTTGGAGTAACCAAAAGTCTTTTAGTGATTCTCCAGAATTTCTGTCTCAACAATTCTACAGAAAGTTTGTATGGAGGGGTTTGAGCAAATGGGGTTAAATTTGCTTCTTTTTTTGAAGACGAGAGGTTGTGAAACTTGCGATTCAGGGCCATCAAAAATATCTTTAAGATTAAACATTCTGAAGAAGTAGAATAGTCATAGTCGTCGTCTTCCTCTGCTTATCCTGCATCCTGACCAGATGCCCAAACCACCTCAACAGACTCCTTTCGATCCTGAGGAGCAGCGGTTCTACTCAGAGCCCCTCCCGAATGTCCGAGCTCCTCACTCTATCTCTAAGGCTGAGTCTGGCCACCCTACGGAGGAAACTCATTTCGGCCGCTTTTATCCGTAATCTCATTCTTTCGGTCATTATCCAAAGCTCATGACCATAGGTGAGGATTGGGATGTAGGTCGACCGGTGAATCGAGAGCCTGGCTTTCTGGCTCAGCTCCCTCTTCACCACGACAGATCGGCTCAGCATCCGCATCACTGCAGACGCCGAACCAATCTGCCTGTCGATCTCCCGATCCCTCCTACCCTCACTCGTGAACAAGACCCTGAGATACTTAAACTCCTCCACTTGAGGTAGGACCTTTCTCCCGACCCGGAGTTGGCAAGCCACCCTTTTCCGGTCGAGAACCATGGTCTCAGATTTGAAGGTGCTGATCCTCATCCCAGCCGCTTCACACTCGGCCACAAACCTACCCAGCAAGAGCTGAAGGTCAGAGCTGGATGAAGCTAGGAGGACCACATTATCCATAAATAGCAGAGACGAGATTCTCCTGCCACCAAACTCGACACTCCACACCACGGCTGCGCCTAGAAATTCTGTCCATAAAGGTAATGAACAGAACCGGTGACAAAGGGCAGCCCTGGCGGTGTCCAACCCTCACCGGGAACAGGTCCGACTTACTACCGGCTATGCAGACCAAACTCACGCTCCTCTGGTAAAGGGACTGAATGGCCCTTAACAGAAAACCACCCACCCCATACTCCTGGAGCATCCCCCACAGGGTGCACCTGGGGACACGGTCATAAGCCTTCTCCAAATCCACAAAACAAATGTGGATTGGTTGGGCAAACTCCCATGCCCCCTCCATCACCCTTGCAAGGGTATAGAGCTGGTCCACAGTTCCACAGCCAGGACGAAAACCACATTGCTCCTCCTCTATCTGAGATTCGACTATCGATCGGACCCTCCCCTCCAGTACCTTTAGTTTTAGTTTAGTTTATTTGTCACATGCAAGTTAGCACAGGGTCAACATTGCAATGAAATGTGTTTGACGAGCAGCGGTCTCTCAGCAGCATAATACAATAGAAAAAAGAACAAGGTATAATACAGTAAAAGCAAAATATTAGAGAGTCATACTTAAAAGTAAAAGCTTACTAAATAGATAAGTAAGTATAGATGACTAAATATAAATATATCTAAAAAAAAAAGTGAGTAGTAACATTGAAATGAAGTAACCAGTGCAGGTTAAATTTTACTTGTGGAGTTGCAGGGTAACATCTGTATCCTGTGTTGTGTGTGTTTAAGTGTAATGGTTGAGGTGTCGTATGGCTTGGTGGTAGAAACTGTTTTTAAGTCTCGTAGTCCGAGCAGGCAGACTCCTGTAACGCCTGCCAGATGGTAATGAGGAGAACAGCTGATGCGCTGGGTGGCTGTGGTCCTTGATGATGCTGTGTGCTTTCCGGAGGCATCGCTGGAGATAAATGTCCTGAATGGCAGGAAGCCTTGTGCCAGTGATGTGCTCTGCTGCTTTCACCACCCTCTGTAGTGATTTACGGCTGCTGGCAGAGCAGCTTCCATACCAAACTGTAATGCAGCTCGACAGCAAGCTCTCAATAGCACACCTGTAGAACTTTGAGATGATACTCGTGTTCATGCCAAACTTCCTTAGCCTCCTGAGGAAGTAAAGCCGCTGGTGAGCTTTCTTGATAACAGCGTCTGTGTGGAGGGTCCAGGAGAAGTCCTCAGTGATGTTGACTCCAAGGAACTTGAAGCTGCTGACCCTTTCGACCATGACACCGTTGATGTGGATGGGTTGGTGTTCCCTGACTGGTCGTTTCCGGTAGTCCACTATCATTTCTTTGGTTTTGCTGATGTTGAGAGACAGGTTATTGTCCAGGCACCACTCGTGCAATGCCGTCACCTCCTCTCTATAGGCCGTCTCATCATTCCCTGTGATGAGGCCTATGATGGTCGTATCATCCGCAAACTTGATGACGATGTTGGACTCATGTTTTGCAACACAGTCGTGTGTGAACAGGGAATATAGGAGGGGGCTAAGCACACAACCCTGGGGCGTACCTGTGTTTGGGATGAGTGATGAGGAAGTGTGTTTACCCACTCTCACCACCTGGGGCCTGTTTGTAAGGAAGTTTAGAATCCATCTGCAGATCGGTGTTCCCAGGCCAAGGTCGACAAGCTTCGTGGCAAGTTTTGAGGGTATAATGGTGTTAAATGCCGAGCTGTAGTCGATGAAGAGCATTCTTGCATATGTATTCCCTTTCTCCAGGTGAGTGAGGGTGGTATGTGTTCCTAGGGCGATGGCATCCTCTGTGGCTCTGTTTGTCCTATAGGCAAACTGAAGAGGGTCCAGTGTGTCAGGGAGAGAGGAGCAGATGTGACATTTGACCAGCCGCTCCAGGCACTTCATGATGACGGATGTCAGCGCCACAGGACGGTAGTCATTCAGACAGGAGACCACTGATTTTTTTGGGAACAGGAATGATGGTGGATGCTACCTTGGAGTAGACCTTTACAGGGAGGCTGAGCAGTGTGATCCCCCTATATTTGGAACACACCCTCAGGTCACCCTTCTTAAATACGGAGTCACCACCCCGGTCTGCCACTCCACAGGAACTGCCCCCGATGACCACGCAATGTTGCAGAGACGTGTCAACCACAACAGCCCTACAACATCCATAGCCTTGAGGTACCCCGGACGAATCTCATCTGCCCCCGGGGCTCCGCCGCTGTGTAGTTGTTTGACTACCTCAGCAACTTCTGCCCCCGTGATCGGACAGTCCATTCCCAGGTCTCCCGGCTCTGGTTCCTCCTTGGACTGCATGTAGGTAGGATTGAGGAGCTCTTCAAAGTATTCCTTCCACCGTCCGACTATAGCCCCAGTTGATGTTAGCCACTCCCCATCCCCACTGTAAACAGTGTGAGCAAGTTGCTGCCTTCCTCTCCTGAGGCGCCGGACAGCTTGCCAGAACCTCTTTGGAGCAGATCGATAGTCTTTCTCCATGGCCTCACCAAACTCCTCCCACGCCCGAGATTTTGCCTCGGCAACTGCCACTGCTGCACCCCGCTTGGCGCTCCGGTACCTGTCTGCTGCCTCCAGAGACCCACAGACCAGCCACGCTCTGTAGGCCTCCTTCTTCAGCCTGATGGCTCCCCAAACCTCTGGTATCCACCAGCAGGTACGGGGGATGCCACCACGACTGGCACCGGCCACCTTGCGACCACAGCTAGCAACAGCCACCTCAACAATCGCAGAGTGGAACAAGGCCCATTCGGAGTCAATGTCACCCCACTGCTCTCGGGACACGGTCAAAGCTCTGCCGGAGGTGGGAGTTGAAGACCGTCTTGACAGCTTCTTCTACCAGGCGTTCCCAGCAGACTCTCACTGTGCATTTGGGTCTGCCAGGTCTACGCGGCATCTTCCCCTGCCATCTGATCCAACTCACCACCAGGTGGTGATCAGTTGACAGCTCCGCCCCTCTCTTCACTCGGGTGTCCAAAACATACAGCTGCAGGTCAGATGATATGACTACAAAGTCTCTCATCGACCTGCGACCTAGGCTGCCCTGGTACCAAGTGTACTGATGGGCATCCTTATGTTCGGACATGGTGTTCGTTATGGGCAAACTGCACCTTGCACAGAAGTCCAATAATGAAACACCACTCGATTTCAGATCAGGCGGGCCTTTCCTCCCAATCGCACCCCTCCAGGTCAAGCTGTCATTGCCCATGTGAGCATTGAAGTCCCCCAGCAGGACAATGGAGTCCCCTGACGGAGCACTTTCTAGCACTCGTCCCAGGGACTCCAAAAAGGGTGGGTACTCTGAATTGATATTTGGCCCATAAGCACAAACAGTCAGGACCTGTTCCCCGACCCGAAGGTGCAGGGAAGCTACCAACACACAGGCAGAGTGCCCCAGACAACATAGCTCCTAGAATCATTAGTTCACTCAAACTCCTCCACCACAATAAGGTGACGGTTCAAGGAGGAGTAGAATAGGTCTTTTTTTTATCTCGAACGAGTCCACTGTACATGTTGGGACAAAACTGAGTCTTTTGGATACGGCAGAAAATTGATGTGTGGTAAGTACCTTGTTGGACAGGTTGGTTACGGGATCCTCCCCCGCTGGCGGGTGTAGGGTTTGGATCCAGGTGCAGCGTTTCTTCCCCCGCCTCGTTTTCTTCTGTCTTTTCCATGTTGATTGTTTTTTGATGAACTCCTTGTGGATCGGTTGTATCCTCTATTGGAGCTGGATGGGTCTGTATTGCTGAGGGGAACGCTCTCTTCGGTAGTAGTGTCGGAATGATAGGACGTCTGTCGTCTCTCCTATGGATTCCGGGTGTTCTCCTTGTGAAGAAAGTTGTAGATCCTCCCTTTTTGACAGTCTAAGGTATCCCCTCTTGAGCTGATTTAGAATGTTTTTTAATGTTAAGTGCACTGTTTTCATTGACTGATACTCCATTTCCCATTATGCTTTGCTGTATTCAGCCACATAGGTGTTTGACATCAACTGACCTGTTTAACTAAGGACTGTTTTGTGTGAACCTCCACAACTCTTGATGAAGGTCTCTGACCGAAAGCTTGACTAATAAAGCTCTCACATCGCAGATTGAAATGTGTGGATCCTTATCTTGTTCTCCCAATGGGAAAAAAGACATTGATCTGTGTTCTGTCAGAATTCGGTTTTAGGAACTTTATGTGCATAAAACAATCCATTCCTAAAAATCTGCCCCTCCCCCATGGAAAAATGCTCTGGCAGCTTGGGGAGCAGTGGCTCTACTCCAAGCCCCACCCAGATGTTAGAGCTTCTTAGTTTATAGTAGCCTGAGCAGGGGATGAATGGGCGTGGCCAGCTTCAGCTTGTTTTCTTAAAGATACAGAAATCTTAAAATACCTTTCAAATTATTATTTCTGATTATAATCAGTCACTGTGAGTTTTTCCATGCAGTCTCCTGCACCTATGTCCTGCGTTAGCTTCTGATAGAAAATAGAGAGTGAAACTGTAAGATTTGAAAAGCCTGACAGACCTACGTCACACTGTCAACTAACATAGAGTCACCCATCTTGACTTGTGATGGGGAAGGCTGTTGTTTTAGTTTTAAATGTGTAGTTGACTGAAAAAACATTTTTTAATGATTGTTTCTGAGTATATTCAGTCACTCTGAGATTTTCATGCATGCTGAACATAAAAACAGTCATCCACATTTATTTCCTGCGTTAGCTTCTAATAGAAAACAGACGGCTAAATGCTAGGATTTGAAAATCCTCACATATCAATGTCACATTGTGAATTTGCATTCATGGCTCGCCCATCTTGGCTCGGCCCGCCCACAGGAAAGTTTTAAAAATGTTTTTGCAGCAAGAAAAGAGAGCAGAGTGCCTTGGCGGTGGCGACTGTGGCTGAAAGTATCCTGTTAGCTAATCAGAATTTAAGTGTGTGCTTATCATTAATAATAATGAGTAACCCTGTTGTTTTCAGCCCACCACTGGACTAGCAAACTTCTACATTTCAGAACAGAAGCGTAATAGTTTTAAAAAAAAAAATTGATGACTAATGAGGCATTGATCTAAGCTAGAGACCATTGCTAATTCTTTGAATGAATGAGTAAACCACACCTTTAGTGTCTAGGAAACAGCAGAGAACTTCTCGAAGCTAACCTCAAGTATTAGCAACACACAGCAGAACTTCTTCAGGCCTGTGTTATTTCTGCAGATAAAACATCCACGTTGCAAGTCAGTGGTAGAGTCACATTGCTGTTATCCAATCCATGTCCAAATATCAGGAAATAAGACTACAAATCCTGCCGTGTTTTACCACTCTCTCCTGCAGCAGACTTGCCCGCGCTAATCCAAGTGTTTCCGGGCCAGAGTTTGTGGGCTTTTTTTGTCCTGAGTACAGCTTGCAAGGCATTCATTCCTACCAGAGATCACTGCAAATGTACTGATTAAATGAGTTTCCCACACCTTTAAAGTGGCAGAACTCTGAAACGGCTCATTCTGGAAGGTACTTAAACTGTCAAGAATAAAACTGCTGAAGTTGCTTCATGTGAGATGGGTTTAGTTCAAAGAACTTCAGAAACATGTTTTGTATTAATTGTAGAACTATTATAACTCAGTTTTTCTACAGTGGTGATGTGCCCTCCACCTGAGAACATTGAAAGAGGCTACGTGTCAAACAATAACAAGTTAGAGTATGACTTCAAGGAAAAAGTCCGTTATGGCTGCCGGGGTGATTATGTGTTGGAGGGCAGTCTGGAGGTTGTTTGCCAGAGGGATGGGAAATGGTCTGAGAAGCCATCCTGCAAAGGTGGGACTCTGAGCTTTTTCCATCACACTATCAGATGCTGGCTTGTGATATAATCAGTAACTTTTTATCTGTTTTTATTAATGCAGCTCCATTTAAATTATATTGGATGTTTTATTTTTCCTTCATAGCTCCCTGCAGTGTTGGCATTCAGAGAGGAAGAATCTTATATAAAGGTGTAAAAACATGGATCGAGGACTTCAATCCTAACGTTGTCTTGCACAAAGACGTTGTCTCAGTCTACTGCATGAACAAAGTCATGAAATGTGGCTACGCTGTGACAACGCAATGCATGGATGGAACTTTAAATATCCCAGAATGCTTTGAAGGTAAGGCACATTTAATCAGAGAAGATAAAACCGTACAATTTTAAAAATCCTGAAAGCTGTGGGTTGTTCTTCTGGCTCCCTTGAAACTTGAACTAATAGAAACAATAAAATGTTGCTTTCAGTCTGACCGGTAAAGCAAAATTTTGTGGCCATGGAAATTAAAACAAATAAATCAAAGAAAGTTTAGCCAACATGCATCATAAAAACAACAATGAGGCCTGGTCCTTTACTTTGAGCATTGTGCAGACACTCCTAATCTTGTTTTTTGTCATATGAATCCTATTTCAAATTTTAAATGGAATCACACTTAAAAGAACCATGACAAACAGATTTAACTTACTTTATTTGTGTGTTGTGTTTTTACAGAACCCAATGCGATTAACTACACCGTTCATTCAAATTTACTCCCATCAGAAATTGAACAGTGCTGAAACAGTGGCTGATGAGTCTGCGACAGTTTCGAATAAATGTTGTTTTTCTGTCGATTCAATAAAGAATATACTTCGACTAACTTGTCCGTCCATGAACGTAATTGGATCACACATACTCAAATGACTTGTTTTATTAAGTGTGTGTGTGTGTGTGTGTGTGTGTGTGTGTGTGTGTGTGTGTGTGTGTGTGTGTGTGTGTGTGTGTGTGTGTGTGTGTGTGTGTGTGTGTCGCCCTGTGGTTTTATTTTGTGATGTCAGTGACAACGTGCTAAGAAAAGAAAGGCTCCCTTGTAAGGATTCGAACTCACGACTGCATCAAAGGCGTCATTCTTTTGGTTTTTCGTGCTAAACAGCGCCCCCTAAAGGTTCAAGTGTGAACGGGAAGCGATTCGTTTGGACATTCTCGCGATATTCTGCGAGATCCACTTTCTTCTCGTCCAGCATGGCTGCGTTGTGTGAGGGGTACACGTTGTGCGGACTTGTTCCAGCTCAAAATCGGTTATGTTCGGGTCTTCGGGGGATCGAAGAGGAGAGAGACAGCGACCATGTCATCGTGACGGAATCAACTAGATGCGCGACGCTCTACAAGGTAACATTTAGACTCCTTATTGAGAATACTTGCGACCTGGGCCAGCTGATCAGTCAGTGAACTCGTGTTAGCATACTCGACTTGTTTCAAAGACAGTCCCTGATTCAGCACATGCGATAACACAGATACAATAAATGTTTGACATGGTACACATTTTAATGTCATTTAAAGTGGGAACAACGCACCACTGAGTTTGCAACATAGCCTCAAAAACAGCCAAGAATAAGCTAATATTAGCTGTGCTGAAATCATGCACATTCGCCTAAAGACATATCAGTCGTTACTAGATATATAAATAAAGTAGTTGTGTTGTAAACTTTTTAAAGAGTCCGTTACTAACATGTTTTCTTCAGAAGTGACTCTTTGCTCTTGTGTTTTGGCAGGTGTCAGACCAGAAGCCTCTGAGCAGCTGGACAGTGAAACAAGGACAGTCTCTGACCAGTTCAGCTGTTTTTAACACTAAAACCAGCGAGTATGTAGCGGTGTCGGACAACAAGGTCAGTTTGAGCTGTGAGACATCCTGATCAGGCTGTTTTACGTGCCAAAAGTGTGTCCCTTTAATAACATTTGCTGAATTAGTTTCCAGTTTTTGTTCATCTGTCCTTCAGAGTTTCAGGTTTATTCTCAAGGCAACTTAAGTCGTAACTGTTGCTTTTGTCACGATTTCCCTCTTTGCATGATCTGTTTTTTTAACCATACAATTTAAGTGACACATCCTACAAGTTCGACGCATAATAACTGATTTATTTATTTCTCCTCGATTGTATTTCACATTATTCTCCTTTTATTCCAGGTGATACGAATATGGAAGGAAGAAGACATACTGTTAGACAAGGCTTTCAAAGCAACGGTAAGTTTGCAGTAATAATAATTACATAATACCAGAAAATGCAGCTTTTCCCCATCACCTCACATTTTAAAGTCTCGTAGGACGTGTTGACAACTTTGAATGCATCTACGTTTTCTGGTTCTGTGTTTTTTCTGAGCAGGTGTCGGCGGATGTCTGGATGGTGCACTGTCCACGAGGAGGAGAGCCTGTGGTTTTGTTTCAAAGAGGAGATGTAAGGCTTTTGGACTCGCTGCTGGCTGCTCCCCACCAGCCCGTACAGGAGGTCCTGGCTCAGGAAGAGTCCATCAGGTGAATATGACGATACGAAGATTTCATACATTTTGGCTCACAAGAAGAGGTTGACCAACTCTTTTTGGTTTGAAGCCATTTATAATTTTTCTGTATGCTTATAGTCTTGTGCATAACAAGCTTCACTTATTTTTGAGTGACTTATTCTGGCATCCAGTGTCCAGATTGATGGGTTTTGGGTTTTTGTGAATTTTCAGTCACATAGAGAAGATTCCACTTTGTACATGTTTTTTTTTTATCTTTAGGTGGAGCACCAGCATTGTGACAGAAATGCAACAAATGGTCATTTTCACAACTGAACTGGTAACTTTATTAATATTTTCTCAAACCAACTTCCTGAACATGAACTCTTTGTTGTCCCTGCACCATGGTGGTGGTTTAGGTTTGTAATGATTTGTTTCTGCCCACAGAAAGGAGATCATTTCCTTTGCCTGCAGAGACTGAACCCAAATTCTTTACAGAGGTACCACCTGGAGAGGGAGGAGCCGGGCCTCTCACCCCTCAGCTTCTCAACCTCCTACAGGGATAAACACATCTGCCTGCTGTACCTCTGTAAGCCCTAATTCAGTGTTTGCGTCTGACCAGGTGTCTGTTTAATAAATGATCTAAGTTTCTTTTACTTGTTTGTCCTCATTCAGACCCTAACGGTCACGTGTATGAGAGTTTGATCTCTGTTCGGGGTTCAGGAGCCGGCGAAGGCTCCGAAGCGCTCTCGCTGCCGCGTAGTCTGATCCTGAGTCTTCCTGTGGGCGATGACCTGCTGGAAGCAGCTGCAGCCGTCGTCCTGGACGATGCTCACGTAGCTGTGGTGGGGGTTCCACACCCTTGTGCCGGACCCGGTAAAGGTAAATGGAGATTGTGTCACCTGGGTAAAAGAGTCAAAAAATGTTTATTCGTTTAGCTAAAGACACTGATATGCTACTAGATTTAGTGACTAATGGATTTCTTTCTTCAAATCAAGTACAATTAATACATTAAATCTCTGTTTCAAGGAACAAAGTCCCTAATATTGTGGAGTGTAGTTAAAAAATTTTGCCTGCAGACTTTAGCGGGCTGTTGCTCCAAGACAAAACTCTTTGTGTGTTTCTTACTTGATTTATGACTCCATGTGTTTTCCTTCATTTGATCTGTTTGGTATTATCTTTAGTTATCGTTTTCACATAATCAAGTAATCATTTAAATAATTTAGCATCACAGCAGTGCTTCTTTTCTTCTCCAGATCAGTTATTCCACTTTTTTGGCTTGATTTTGCTACTTAAAACACCCTAAATGAACCGGAATGCTAAGCTAATACAGCTCTGGTCATAGACTGCAGTTTCTGATGGTTTCTCTGTCCTCGTCAGACTTTCTCTGCATCTGGAACACAAACTTTCAGACGCTTCAAGCTGGTAAAGAAATGGCGGGTAAACTCTACGGGCAGGTAGGAATTTATTTTTTTTCTGTTCAACTTTTTTATTGTTATTTAATGAAATGATGATAAAATCATAAAGGTGATTTTTAGCAACACTACCAACCACAGGTCACAGACGGGCCAGGGTTCCCTGTCCTCCCAGCTGATGGAGGACTGTATGACTTTGGTAGATCATTGCTTCTGCTCTCCACTGTGAGGAGGCGCACCACCCCTCCTCACAACTATACAGCAGTTTACAAAACCAACAACTGTTGCATGAGTTCACCAGCGGTATGGAACTAGGATTGGGACAATATTACATGTAACTTGTACCAAGCTTTGTAACCTGTAACGTGTTTTGTAACTAACTTTCGTTTTGTAACACGTAACATTTGCTACCTAACATGAAGCTTTGGTTTTGTAACTTGTAGAAAACAATCAATGTTCGAGTTTCAAATCACAACTCACAAAACACACATCTCAGTCTACAAGTACAAAACATTTTGTCTCAATTCTATCTTCCTTCCCAAAGAACCAATGACAGGCTTTGTCTGACCAGCCAATCATGAGTCTTGGATTCCTGTCAAAGACAATTCCTGTTGGAAGGAAGCTAGAATTAGGACAGAATGTTTTGTACTTGTAGACTGAGATTTGTGTTTTGAAACTTGTACATTGATTTTTTTTCTGCAAGTTACAAAATAAAAGTTTCATGTAACATGCCGAAGTTACGTGTTACAAAATGAGAATTACATGCTACAAAACTAAAGTTACGTGTTACAAAATGAGAATTACATGCTACAAAATTAAAGTTACGTGTTACAAAATGAAAGTCACAGTTACAAAACATGTTACAAGTTACATGTAATATTGTCCTAATCCTAGTTCCATACAGCTGTAGACTGGTGCCCTAAATCGTCTCATTAATGCTTTTGTTATTATTTCTCTCTCTGATATAGCTGTGGAGTTATTCAAACAAGTTGTTTATTCCACATGGGAAAACCCTGTCCGTTATACCGTTTGCGTGTCCCAAATCGTGTCTCGCCTCTGCTTTGGGGAAACTAAAGCAGGCCAGGGCTGAAGGTGAGTGAACACTTCTTTGCTGCTTCACAAAGCAAATGGTTACAAAATTCTGAGTAAATTCATGAAACACAATCAGTGTGGAAGTAAAATCCGACAATACTTAGGATGCATCAATAGTTTTTTATTTCCTGTTTTACACATTAAACTAACACTTAAAGTGACATTGTGTAGTTTTTACCATTAATCTCTGGAAATATCCATTGAAATGTTGTAAATGAATTAAAAGGTACCTAGTTGATGAAAAATATTGGCAGTTTTGTAACATATAACCGTAAAAATCTGGTCTAAAATACATGGGAGCGGGTCTAAGTCTCTGGGTGACACCATGTTGGATGCCATGCTTCCTTCTACGGAAGCCCATGAGGACAGAATGCATTTACTGATTTGTAACAAATGGTTACAAATCTTTCAGCATTAATAAACGTTGTTCTTTTACACATTTACCTCTTTACTTATTATAAGTGATGAAAGGGCATCTGATGTTCTTGTTATTTTGCTGGAGGTTGCACACTCAAGGATCTGTTGGTAAGGTCTTACTTGAACACAAAAATATTGCTTGCTTGCAATGATTTGGGTATCTACTGCCCCCCATTGCCAGGGACAATACACACTGTCACTTTAAGTTTCCTGCTTCTCCCCCCACTGGTTAAAAGCAGAATACAAACTGTTGTAAACAACCCTGCCAAAGCCTGTAGCCAGTGCTACAAGCCAATAAGTAAAAAGATCCACACTGACAAAAAAAATAATCTTATTACCTACAAGTCAAGAAGCAACAAAGCCAGGTCATCATCAGTCTGATTTTATGGTATCTTTCATAAAACAATGGCGCCGTAAAGCAGAAGCAGCATCAGGGAGCATTTGGTTGTTCAGAAGTGGTCAGCTTGTGGCGGTAATGTGTTTTTCACAAAATATTGCAAGACTGTGGTTTAAAGGGTGTGTGGGGGGGTGGTCTCTGTGCTGTCGACGCGCTGTCACAGACATTCTTTTAGCTTTGACATAACTTGTTTTTTATCCTGATTGAAGCAACGCTCTTTGTTTTTTTTCACAAGCCTCTTCAAAGGTGTCTGTCTTCCACAGTATCTGTGAACTGTCTGGTGATTTGTGCTTCAGCTCTAACGACCAAATGATCCCAGATCTCTGCATCGCTCCAGTTTGCCATCTCCGCTGATTCTGTTTATAAATGCAAAACTGGCTGGCCATTTTTAGTAGGGATGTCCCATTCCGATATCGGAAGTAATTCGATATCGACCCAAAAACACTGTCGGATTATATCGGACTGCATCAGAAATCTCCGATATAAGCAGTTTAAGGTTCACATTTTAGTAACCAATGGTTAAAAAAAAAATTTTTTTTTTTACTTACTTACTCTTATTGGATCTTGTTCTCCAGCTTGATCAAGCCGTCATACATTCCACACTAGGAATTTAAATAGGTAAAAGTATGTGTGACTTGTGCTGATTTCATATCCGATTGATATCGGTATCTGTCTATACTGCAGGCTGCAATATCGGTATCGTATCGGAAGTGAAAACGTTATATTGGGACATCCCTAAGTTTTTGTTTCATTTGCAAAATTGTTGCCTGCCAGGGCTCGGCTGACATTCCACTCGCATCGCCATGTCGCCGCGGCGTTTTCATAAGACACACCATGGCGGCAATATTACCCGGATTTGCCGCCATGGTGTGTCTTATGAATGAGACCGTATCCCCCCATAGCTCCCTCAGCTAGTGTAGGCTGATCCAATGTTCACACTGGTTTTAGCTCTATGCTTTCTCTCCGAAGACATTGCTCTCTTGCTTATTCTCTTCCAGGCTCCGCCATGATGCCAAGAAAAAACAAAATTCTTCTTCTTTTTTTAATCGATGGTCGTTAAACTTAAAAAGCTAACTTCTTCCTTTTATACCAGCTACTGGCAACGTAAACAGCTAATGTAGTTAAGCAGGTAGAGACGTCCCACTAGTAAATCTACCCAAAGCAAAACAGCGTTAAGTGCAGTTTTAGGTCTGCAGAGTGCTGTTCCATGTGAGGTTGTTTAAGTTTCTGCCTCAAGAATTACTGAAACCAGTTTGAAAGCAATGGCCTAAAGTGTTCAGAACTCTTTATTATTGCTTTAATGTCCTCTCTCCGTCGACTTTCTCCACCAGATTCCAGACCTCCGGCTTTGGTGCCCTCTTGGAACAACATTCTGCACGGAGAAAAGCATCAACCTCCTAAAACAGCGGAGATCAGGAAGACTGTAAGTTGGATTACTGATGAAGATGCTGGATTAAATGGTGTGAACGCCACACAGCTTGAGCAGTGATGGTTCAATAGTTTAGCAGTAATAGGAGTAGTAGTTATGTGATCTTTAAAATATTATCTTGGGGCGACGGTGGCGCAGGAGTTAAGTAAGTAAGTAAAGTAAGTAAAAGTTTATTTATATAGCGCCTTTCTCAGATATAAATCACAAAGCGCTGGAGTTAAGAGCTCGCCCCGTAATCGAAAGGTTGCAGGTTCAAGCCCCGCTCAGTCTGTCGCTGTCGTTGTGTCCTTGGGCAAGACACTTAACCCAAGTTACCTGCTGGTGGTGGTCGGAGGGACCGGTGGCGCCGGTGCTCGGCAGCCTCGCCTCTGTCAGTGCGCCCCAGGGCAGCTGTGGCTACGTCGTAGCTCATCCCCACCAGTGTGTGTGTGTGTGTGTGTGTGTGTGTGTGTGTGTGTGTGTGTGTGTGTGTGTGAGACAGTGTGTGTGTGTGTGTGTGTGACTGTGTTGTAAAGTGCCTTGGGGGGTTCCAGGACTCTAGAAGGCACTATATCAAATACAGGCCATTTACCACTTATTTTCTATACAGAGAACCACTCGTAGGACCCAGTCGTCACCTTGTTTAACAACTGACCAAGTACTAGAACTGATCAAGGTATGGGCCAACATTTCTATATGTTTTCATAAATGGCTCACAAAAGATATAGATTTGTAGAAGTATAAAAGATGTGCCTCCTGCAGACAGCATCAGCAGAAGAGGTCAAAAAAGAAGTGGAAGGCCTCCTGACCAGGCAGGACGTCCAGGACCTGCAGCTGTCTTTGGGGCAGCTAGCAGTAACCCTCGTGTCCCGAAGCCTGGCTGAGCCGGCTTTTTATACTCCCAGCACCCTGCAGCAACTGGTACACACCCAGTGCCTCTGTCACAGGTCGGTTGGATGTGGAAGTTGGATTAAAATATAAAAAATATGTCCTTTTCCACCTAAAAGAAGAGGAGTTTAACATGTTGTGTTTTTAGTGAATGTAGCTCTCCTTTCACGTTCAACAGCATCTGCCCTGATCTGGTGGCTCTGGCTCTTGAGAAGAAGGATTACTTTCTGTGTCAGCTCTGCTTACAGTTCTTCCCCGACATCCCAGAGGTGATCACATGCGCCTGCCTCAAGGCTTTTATCAGGTGAAGCACTTGCTTGGCCCTTATCTAATTTCTACAGATAAACACTTTAATTTGAGACTTTGATGCGACCAAGTCTGTTAAAGATAAATAATAATAGTTTGTTTCCTTTGATTTTCTTAGTTTGCCAGACGCAGATGCTGAGAGGTTGAGTCTAGAGCCTGACGGGGTGTCTTTTATGCAAATACTAATCTCAAGAGAGCACGATCAGGTTGGCCTGCAGAACGGATTTACTTCTACTTCCTGTGAGGATGAGGACGCCGGAAGTGGTCAGCAGAGAAGAAGAAAAGACGAGGAGAATGCCAGAAATCCACCAGAACCAGTTTGTCCAGTGGGGGTCCACAAAGCAGCTCTAATGTATCCCAAACACAGATCTTATGCGTAACTAATGTGAGGATTTGACAAAAAAATGTCTCATTAAAGAGATCTTAACTGAAACTCTTTAGAAATGAGGTCCTGCAGGCGGCATACAGCGACACGTTCCTTCTCCCACACCTTAAGGATCTTTCCTCTCAACACGTCATCGTGAGTAGCAGCTAGTTCCAGTTCAGCCTCCAAAACGAACCACAAAGTGCTAAATCTGCAGTTTTCTGTCATCCGTGCAGCTTTTCCTCCAGTACCTGCAGTTTCTTTACCAACAATATTCTCTTGAAGCTTTCCCACAGAAGCACAGCTTCAGGTCACCAAGTCAGAATCAGGTGTGTTTCCCGTTGACAGAATAAGTGTTGACTCACCACTGGATGCAATAAATCAGATTCTGCTGATCTGGATTTTTGTTTGAGTGCAGATCATGGATTGGGTTTGCATGCTGTTGGATGCCCATTTCACAGTTCTAGTGATGACTCCAGAGGCTAAAGGCTTATTGCAGAACCTTCACAGATTTGTTGATTGTCAGGTAACCCCCTCAGACATTGTCTCTTCTCTCGTTAACGGGCTTTTTAAAGTTTCTCCAACACCAGGAATCCTCCTCTTGTGTCCAGGTGAAGCTGTTTCTTCAGCTTGGAAAGATCGAAAGTAGCCTCCAGCAGATAAATGAGATGAAGGTGAAGGAAGACGTCGGGGCGTACTCCATCGAGGTCATCGAGCTGTTTTAGACAAGTGAATAGGAGTATTTTAATCAATTTCCACTCTTTCTGACTCACTGGGTTACAAACTGTAAGTGGTCCAGGAATCCAGGTCTTTTACCGTTTATGGTAAAGGATGGAATACCGTTGGCGCTGCGACAGCTGCACATGTCTGTGAATCCTTTTGTAAATGCGTTTCAGCTCCTTGAATGTGTTTTGCATGTTAATTCGGTGTCTGCTTACGTCAGAATGGCTATTTAGTGAAATACGGACTAATGCCACCCACAGGCACCAATAAAATAAAGTTTTTTAAACTATTATAATTGTGACATAACATCAACCACAAAAGTCAGTGTTTTTGTTAGAATACATCTACGTGTAAATCTGTTTTTTTTTTTTTTACATAGAACTAAGCCTGTTGAATATGCAGTTTGTGTGACATTATTTCTATGAAAAGATGCTGCACAACGCCATGTTAGTGAAATGGTCATTAATCACTTGTAATTCAAATCAGTACATTGTTTTTATGCCTTTATACAAAATGTTCTTTAGATAGTCCACAACTCCAGACATTTAAGGCAACGAATTCTGGATAAAAAGTATTAGAAACTCATTTGAATAGAGAAAAAACACCATGGTCCAGAGGTTTTCACATTTTTAGGCATCTAATCCTAGCCTGACAAGCCAGACTATATATGTGAATATATAGTCTGGCCACGACCATAGACGCCACGACCCATTGAGGGCTTTCAGTCGTGGGGCGGGCTCTACGGTTGTCTTTCAAACTTTCTGCATGCAATTGGATAGCACTAGGACCAATCAGAATAACGAACAACGTGACGTAATCACAGCGACGGAAAAGCTCAGGGAGGCAGCAATGGCATCTAACATCAATGATTTCTGTCGTTTTTGTATGAAAAACATGCGAATATCAGGTGTACTGGGACATTGCACTACCTTGTTTGATAAAAATAAGAAGCCGCCAAGTATACCCGACAGACTTTTGCTCGTTGGATTGGAGATTAAAAAACGATCAGGGAAGTCTAACCGTGTCTGTAGGGGTTGTGTCTCTACGTTATCAGGAGTGGAAAAATATCTTTCACTGTATTGGAGATGGGTGGAAAACGAGAAGGACGATGAATCCTGTGCAAGAGAAAGCGCGACAAACTCCGAAAAAAGAAACCGAGAACCGTCTCCTCCTAAAACTCCAAGGGCACTGAAAAGGTTTTGCCACAAAGCTACAAGTCCAGGAATAAATAATGTGAGAAGGAGTATTAATGCGGTAAGTTTGCTAGGCTACCACTTCTCATATACAAGTATATAGAGGTGATCTGAAACAGTACCGAACTACCTTAATTAATTTTATTAGTTAAGTTCATTATTGTCGTGATTGATGCTAGCAAGTTAGCCTTGAAATTTTGACTTTGCATAATGTGTCCTAGCTAATGTAATCTGTGAACTACAACAATATCATTAATCAGAGGGCTCCTATTACCCAGGCACGAGACCGCAGTGACAATGGAAGCCTCTACAATCTCTTAGTTGGCATATAATATATTAATGTGTATGCAGCCTCCATGCATATGTTTTATGTGCTGTTGTCTGCTTCACGTCATGAGAAATAGGTTACTTTGTGTTGTGTGTGCGTTTTCTGTGAAACATCGTGAGCTGGCCTTCCATAAATTCCAAATAATCTACATGACATTAACCGTGTGTGTGTGTGTGTGTGTGTGTGTGTGTGTGTGTGTGTGTGTGTGTGTGTGTGTGTGTGTTTGAAGAGGCTGTGATGTGTGAGTCATTCTATGAAGTGTGTCTAACCTTATTTTACTATCTTTCAGGCCATCACCAAGCAGAATGTATGTGACACCGAGGAGTCTACGATAGTGGAACATATCACTAACAGGAAATGGGCAGCAGCGGCTAAGTTCATCATGAACCATAAAGACTTAACTCAAGAAGTAAAAAAAAACATACTTTCACTGCTTGAGAATGAGTGCAAGACAATTTGCAACCCCAACAACAATTTCATTTTGTGGAGGTCATCGCCAGAAGATCTGAAGTCCTTCTCATTTGACAAGCTTGAATCAGACCTACAGCGTCTGTCACCACTTCTGTTCTCTATCTTTGCTACCATCTGCAACAACTCCAGTCCTGTCATCTGTGCTGCTTCTGCTACTTTGCAACGCAAGAATTTGGTCTAGTTCACTAGGCTAATCTAATCCATGAAATTACAATTGCAAAAGAGTTGTGACCCCTTATTGTTGGCTAGGCTGAGCAAGTACTGCTAAAAAGTAAATTAAAGATAAAAACAAATAGTTTCTACCAGTTATTGCAATTGTGGAATTTTATTTTTTGTAATTGCAAATATATTCTATTGGGAATCAAGTTCAAGCTTAATGTTTTCATTTAAAAGGCATTTGAACAAAAGGATAGGTTTAACATTTTAAGAATGTAGATGATAGCAACAAAACTTGAGTAAAAAAAAATCTTGTCCTGTACTGGCCTCATGAATTAGACCAAGATCTTACCTTGTAAAATTTATATATATGCATGTAACTTCTTAATGCAATTATCTAATCAACCAACCACATGGCAGTTGCTTTAATGTATTTAAGGGTGTGGTACTGGTCAAGACAATCTCCTGAACTCCAAACTGAATGTCAGAATGAGAAAGAAAGGTGATTTAAGCAATGTTGAGAGTGGCATGGTTGTTGGTGCCAGATGAGTATTTCACAATCAGCTCGGTTACTGGGACTTTCACGCACAGCCATTTCTAGGGTTTACAAAGAATGGTGTGAAAAGTGAAAAACATGCAGTATGCGGTAGTTTTGTGGGTGAAAATGCCTTGTTGATGCTAGAGGTCAGAGGAGAATGGGCCGACTGATTCCAGCTGATAGCAATTTTGACTGAAATAGCCACTTGTTACAGCTGAGGAATGCAGCAAAGCATTTGTGAAGCCACAACACACACAACCTTGAGATGAATGGGCTACAACAGCAGAAGACCCCACCGGGTACCACTCATCTCCACTACAAATAGGAAAGAGGGGCTACAGTTTGCAAGAGCCCACCAAAATTGGACAGTTGAAGACTGGAAAAATGTTGCCTGGTCTGATGAGTCTCGATTTCTGTTGAGACATTCAAATGGTATTGTCAGAATTTGCCGTAAATGAGAACATGGATCCATCATGCCTTGTTACCACTGTGCAGGCTGGTGGTGGTGGTGTAATGGTATGGGGAATGTTTTCTTGGCACACTTTAGGCCCCTTAGTGCCAATTGGGCATTGTTTAAATGCCACAGGCTACCTGAGCGTTGTTTCTGACCATGTCCATCCCTTCATGACCTCCATGTACCCATCCTCTGAAGTCTACTTCCAGCAGGATAATGCACCATGTCAAAAAGCTTCAATCATTTCAAATGGGTTTCTTGAACATGACAATGAGTTCACTGTACTACAATGGCCCCCCACAGTCACCAGATCTCAACCCGATAGAGCATCTTTGGGATATGGTGGAACAGGAGCTTCGTGCCCTGGATGTGCATCCCACTAATCTCCATCAATTGCAAAATGCTATCCTATCAATGTGGGCCAAAATTTCTAAAGAATGCTTTCAGCACCTTGCTGAATCAATGCCACGTAGAATTATTCAACAGGACAGAAGTTAGAATTGTTTATATATTTTAGCTTTCTTGTAATTATATATTAATATTTCACTGTATTAACAATCTAATATTATCTGGGACACCCCTAAAGTGGTCTGTACCATGTGTTAGCTACCAATTGTCACGTGACCATGTTGACGTTGATTATTAATATCGTAGTTATTTAATCCTCTGGAGGTCTTTCGACCGTGTTTCAGTCGTGTTTCTCATTTATAGGTCGATGGTTTCAGCCACAAGCAGTTCAACTCAAAATAAGTACCAGATAGTTTTCACTTTTCCTTTTAAATGTTTTTACCATTAAAAACATGTTAAAGAGTAACTAAACTCCAAAATAACCTTTTTTGCTTATAAACTGTATAACTGGATCTTTACAAATCAGTCTGTCTTTTTCTGTGCATTTTTTGACATGTTTGCGTAAACTTGATTCAGTCTAGAATCTAGGTCTTAAAATGTCTTAGTGCTGCCCCCTGTGGGTTGAACTGTGACTACTGCATTTTAAATTTGTGATTGACCAGGGCTGGTACAATTCATGTCATCAGTACAGTCTCCTCCCACTCCCCCTCCCTCCCGGGATGGAAATTCCCAACACTTGGCCATGCCACTCCATCCCTCCTGGCAACGCCCACTTTCATAGCATTTTTCAAATCTTGACTAAGGGTGGAGTTACGTTTTCTGATGGTGTGCAGTCCCTCTTTAAGTATCTGTGGGTTGATGCTAACATTGTCAAGCTAAAATTTTGGGTTTTCTTTTCAATATATCGTGTTAAGGGTGTGTAGTTGACGTTTCTTTACTATATTGCATCTTGCTCACCCAAAATAAGTAAATAAAAGTTATTTTCAAAATATGCAAGTAACTATTACCTATTAAGCCAGGCGTGTCCAGAGTGCGCCTGTTTGCAGCCTGCGCAGTGGTTTTGCGCGGCCTCCAATTTTGATTTTGTCTCCCTCAGCCTAGTTTAACCCTCAGCCTAGGCCTTAAGTTGAGTTTTTTTATATTGTGTGTAGTTTAAGAAATGCAAATAAAATATCACAATTTTAGCTATGTTTAATCATAAGTAAGTCACATTTTAGTGGCACATGAGGACTTTTGACATGGTGATTTGACTCTTTCAAAGTTTGGTCTCCCCTGTGCCAAAGGCTGGAGTTAGAGTAAATACTTGTTCATGATTGGCATTGATCCAGCATAAAACCAGCAAATGAGTATTTTGTAATTCTTTAGTACAAAACAGTATTTCTCTGCTTTTAAAAGTTTTGTTGCTGTCCAGGAATTAATGTGATTTAGAGGTGAATCTGCATAAATTAGAATATCAGAAATTTTTATTTAATCAAATCAATTTAAAAGGTTAAAATAATGAGATAGAATAATTACATACAAAGTAAAATATTCCAAGCCTTTTTTTGTCATAATTGTGATGATAGATGATTCAATAGGAAAGGGGTAGAATGCCTCCAGGATAGAGAGGAGGTCCTGCCTCAAGTGGAGTTGATCGGGGTCTTGTTCACAAATGACGGAAAGATGCAATCAGGGTCGGATTATCATTTTATGGGCCCCTGGGCACAATGTGCTTAGGCTTGTCTCCTGTCTCCTTCCTTGTCTTGTCTCCTGTCTCCTTCCTCCTCTTGACTCCTGGCTCCTTCCTCTTCTTTTTGTTTCCTTGTTGGTCTCCTCTCTTGCCTTCAGAAAAACTGCTTTCTGTTAGTAAATTCATTTACAATGTCATCAAAGTCCAGATTCCTGACAAACTGAGATTCAACAGCCATCAGTGACAGTGCACTGAGGCGCTGTTGAGTTTGTGTTGTTCTCAGTTCATTTTTTATTCTTGTGAAAATTGTTCCCCTTCACAGTTTGTAACTGGTAGCAGGCGCTTTGCAAGCGTTTCAAAAGTGTGGGGGATGTTGTCTGTGCCTAAAATAATTTTATGTTATTCATCTTGTTAGTTTAATTTTCACAATAGCGGAGCAGGTGCGAACTTAAGACGCGTCACGCACGTCTCCGTTTTAAACATGTTTAAACTGTTCAGAATACAAGTCCAGGCTCTGTCTCGTTAGATTGGTGCGACTAAAGTTTGTACTCAATGAAATTTTTACATTAAACCATGTTGAAAAGGTAAGAAAAGGATCCGCTCCGATCAGCGCAGCTCACACGGTGGACAGTGATGGTAAATGGCCTGTATTTGATATAGCGCCTTCTAGAGTCATGGAACCCCTCAAGGCGCTTTACAACACAATCAGTCATTCACCCATTCACACAGGTGGGGATAAGCTGCGATGTAGCCAGCTGCCCTGGGGCACACTGACAGAGGCGATGCTACTGAGCACTGGCGCCACCGGTCCCTCCGACCACCACCAGCAGGCAACTTGGGTTAAGTGTCTTGCCCAAGGACACAACGACAGCGACAGACTGAGCGGGACTCGAACCTGCAACTTTCCGATTACGGGGTGAGCACTTAATTCCTAATACTCCTTAACCTAATACTTCCGCTACTGGGAGGCGAACCTGCGCAAAACTGCATGACAATCTGACTCCATAACCACTTCACCACCACATCTGATAAAAAGCAAGTGGCGTTACATGTAATTGTGTGTCTCTGTAGATGCTGTTTGGTTTTTCCGCCGGTGTCTCAGTAGAAGTCATTTCAGAAATAATTTGTCAGAAAATTCACAGACCCGCTTTGGAGGAGGAGACCAAATTGAAGCTGAGATGGGAGGAAAATGCATGAATGAGGCCAAAAATGGCTTTGGTGTGTTTCTTATGAGGAAATGACGATATAACATGATAAAAGGTTCCAAAAGTTAGATTTTTAATTATATGGAACCTTTATAAAACCTTTACAAAAACTGTTCAATTAACTTCTCAACTCCTTCCTCAATCTTGCATTTTAGATGATATTAGCTATAACACCCTCTTTGGTTCCAGAATGCTATCAAGTCTGACAACTGGAAGGAATTGGACTGACTCTGATGGAATGGGCGGGGCTGACTCTGGTGCAGCTCCACCTTCTGGTGCAGCTCCGCTCCGGTGTGGCCGACGCGCGGTGCGCACTCCGCTATTTTTGCGGTCGGTAGAGCTTTTTTAACTGCAGTTCAAAGGTAACTCATAAGGTGAATATATATGAAGCCATGTAGCAGTTTTTCTTTAGGATTGAGAGGAGATGCAGGAAGATGATACACAGACAGGACAGAAAAATAGTCAAACAAAAACAAGTTTGTTTATACCTGGTGGTTGCAACAAACAGACACCATTGAAGGTCATCAGAAGTGAGGAACAGAAAATTAAACGATTCTTTCAATGTTTAGAGCAGCAGGAACTCTGAGAGGCTGCAGGCACATCAGTGAGTTTGCGCTGCTGAACAGGGGGAGGGGAAAGAGGGCTGAAGCAGGAACAGTAAAGATGCAAAAACTACCGTTGTTAAAAGAGATGTGTGTTAACTTAGAACATGTGGGTGCAATTTTAATTACTTCTCAACATTTTTCTCCAACGTTAAGACTTCTGCACAAAATAAAAAAAAGACTGCTGAAAGAACATGATTGTGAGTACAAGCAGCCGAAATGAGTTTTCTCTGCAGGGTGTCTACTAGGCTCTCCCTTAGAGATAAGGTGACAAGATTGGTCATCTGGGAGGGGCTAGGAGTAGACCTGCTCCATCACATCAAAAGGAGCCAGGTGATGTGGCTTGGGCACTTGACTCCTGGATGCCTCCCTGGTGAAGTTTTTCGAGCACGTCCAACCGGTAGGAGGCCTAAAGAAAGACCTAGGACATGCTGGCACTGCAGGGAAAACCCAAGCCCCCACAATGCGGGTGAAAAATTGAAGCAAACGCGGAAATGAAATAAACTGCAGTTCCACCCTCATCCACTAGGGGCTGGTGTCAGAAGCGAGCAAATCTTCATTGACTCCCATGTTAAAAATACCAATTTCACAGCAGAAATAAACGTCTACAGCCTGGTTCCAAAACATTTTTTTAGTTTAAATGATCTAGTTTACACTCATGACAACTCTGAGGGGGGTGAATTTTTTTCTCACTCTTCTGTTTAAGTGTATTAAAAGTCTAAAATTCTGTATAATTAATGAGCATCAGACCCACGTGACCGCCGAGCTAGCTCCGTGGAAAGGCCTCAGTAGAGCCTCGGCCTGGCCTGGAAACTGCTCCGTCAGTTTGAGTCTCTCAACTTAGAACATTAGTTGTAGTGTGTGTGCGTTCTGTTTTGGATATTATTTGTGCAACTGTTGGACAAAATGGCTTGCTGTGGCATTAATTGCATTAACAGAGGGCCCAAGGAGTCTCCACTTCATTTTTTTGGTAAGTAAAATTATATTTATGTATTTTAGGTCACTGCCGAGCTAAGCTTAGATTTTAACATGTACTGTTTAACCATGAAATTTAAATGTAATAGGGTAAAACCCAGTGCATTTAACATAATGCTGCACTGTAGAAAATGGGTTGAAATATAACATGTTGGTGGAGCTGGGTTCCCACTATCGGCTTGTGGAGCTCTCGGGAGACCGATGTTTTCCACCCGGTTCTCCCCTCCCCGCAGCTCGGCGCATCTCTGTCTGATTGCGGCTTCTGTGTGCTGCGCGGGCTGCCGGCTTGTGGAGCTCTGGAATGGAAACCTTTCCACCCGGTTCTCCCCAGCGGCAGCTCTGCGCATCTCAGATCACAGCAGCGCTTGGCTGCTGTGCAGCTGCCGGCTTGTGGAGCTCTCGGGAGACCTCTGTGTTCCTCCCGGTTTTACCCAGCGGTCAGCCCAGCGTATCTCTGACTCAGAAGCTCTGGTGTTGTGCACAGTTAACTCCAGTTGTAGCTAGGTTGCTACCTCCGTTAGCTTAGCTCCCACCTCCGTGTTAGCTTTGGGTTAGCTTCAGGTTAGCTTGTAGCTAGTTTGACCGGGTGTCGTCAGTTGATCCCAGCCTTACAGCTCCACCCTTAGCTAGCTCCACCTCTCTTCCCTTTTGTGGAATTGTCTGGGCTTGACGGAACCTGTGACACGGTCAAAATGGCGGTGGTGGCCACATCCCATTTTCTTCAAAAACGTGTTATTGGAGCCTGTGGAAAGCCATTGTCCAATATTTATATGTCGATGGGAACACCTTAGGATTCCTGGGGGGGGGGGGGGGGGGGGGGGTACCTAGGATGCTAGCCTCACAAACCGAACTTGGATGAGAGGAAAACAATGGATGAATGTGATTATTATGGTTTACAGCTTATGAAAACCCCAAAATCTAAATCTCAGACCATATTCCACAACCACAACATTCTATATTTAAAAAAAAAAAACAATTAAACGATTTTGACTTCAGCCAAGTGAAGCTGGTGGTTCTCAATCATCCAGGTCATGGTAATACAAAAGGGTTAAAATAAAGGAAACTAGACTTCTTTGGTCTCTTGACGACCTTTCGTTTCGCGAAACATCTTGAAAAAACCAAAGAATTTGAGTTGCCTTCATTTGAACCCTTTCGGATAGCCAGCTGAAGAATGTATATTCTGCATGCATTTGCACTGACGATAAGTATAACCTCCCAGTTAGCACTGTAATTTGCACAAAACACAACTAAGAAAACACACGTTGTCGGCAGGATTCGAACCTGCGCGGGGAGACCCCAATGGATTTCTAGTCCATCGCCTTAACCACTCGGCCACGACAACTGATACCTTCGATAGCAGTATTTTCGAAATTGAACTCTATCTCAAAACGGCACTATCCGCCTGTCGTACATATAAATTGGCTTGTTCATTTAGAAATCTACTGAAGTCAGCATCTGAATAAATTCAATTAGATGTAAGTATGAATGATCAAAATGTAAAGTTCGTGCAATTTTTTTCTAAACGTTATACCTCAGTCTCGTAATCCCCTATTTAATGGCTAAATTGAAAAAACACCGGGAAAGCTTTCATGACGTGAAGAAAAAAATGTTTTATAAAACTAAAATGTAACGTTCAGTATGTGAACTGAAGTTGTGCATAAACTTTTGACGGTTTATATAAGACTAGAGATTAATGTCGGATGTAATATCTTGACGAACATGGCGACTGGGCCGAAATCAAACGATGAAGCGTAATTCCACTTTGCTGTTACAGTACACTTGACCCACCTGTTGTCACTGTAACCCTCAGAAGCAGCAAATGACCAGTTAAATACACTTGGCGTTTGCAGGGACAACTAATTTTATGAACTGCGTCTATGGTCTGTAGTAGAAAATAGTCACGTGACCTAAAATGTACTAGGCCTGCCAGCATCAAGTTAGAGTAGGTCATTATTGTTCCGGAAGTGCATTGATTAACTTGGTAACATCAAATTGTACAAATCGCCTTAATATATTGTTTTATACATTTCTATGATTAATATTCTTTTTATTATCTCTGAATATGGTTTGGTGTATACCGTAATCTGTTATATGTGATATTAATATTTGTCTTTTAGGACACTTTATTTTGAAGGGTAGTTCGTTCGTCTCTGGGCTAACCCATGCTACCTTAACGCAGCTCTGAGGCCTGCTGTGTTTTCAACGGAGGGAGAGCCGAGAAGAAAAATGGCGTCTGCTGGCGACCCAGAGCGGGACACCGGCCATTCAGTTTGAGCTTTCCACCCCCCAAACAGAGATCGGGGTTCGGTCTGGACCGGTCGGATTCCCGCTCCAGACCGGTTGTGGTTTTTTCTCCCAGTTTTTCTCCTGCGTGCGTGGCTCATTCGGGGATCGAGATTGAGGCGGAATACAAGAGCCTCTCTCCTGCAATGAGAGGGAGAAGAGGAAGGCCGCCTAAACAAGCAGCAGAGATGCGGGAAGGTTCACCCGGGCCAGTCCGGGGCTCTCGGGGCGGCAGGACTAGAGGGATGCGTGGACGGGGAAGAGGCAGAGGAAGGGGCCGGGGGCGGGGAGTAGGTGTTGGAGTTTGCAGCAGTGGCCCCTTGGAGATGGATACAGATATCTGCGGGCGAGAGAACTTTAATTCGTCTCGCGGCCGCAGGAAAGTTGGAGCCTCCACCGCGGCGGCTACGGCGACATCACGGGGAAGAGGGAGCCGAAGCAGAGGCAGGGGTTCGAGAGGTGGCCGCGGCGGCAGAGGTGGAGTGAGGCGGCCTCAAACCAAGGTGGTCTACGACGATAACAGCGACGAGGAGGATGATAATTTAAGTTACCGATCTGACGAAGATGAACTGAACGACAACCCGTCGTCGGATCTTGAAGATGAGGAGGCCTTGGGAAACGAGTCGGACTATCTGGAGGACCTACCGGATGATGAGGATGCCAGCTACTGTACTGAGAGCAGTTTTAGGAGCCACAGTACGCTGGAGAGCACTCCAGGTACGTTCGTCCGCAGGCGCATGCAGTTGTGAAAAGACCTTTGCATTAATTAAAGTGTAGATTTTATTTTTAGCTGAGTGCAGAAACCAAGCCGCATTGTTCAAAATGGAGCTTGCACTCAGAAACGGGCCTTTGTTTACCGTAAGCTCTCCTGGCCGCTATTTTGCAGACCTGCTGCACGTTTCAGCCGGCTCGTGTAATTTTGACTTCTGTCAGATCAGCACTTTTCTGTTTTTATTTTCATTTAATCATCTCGCTCTCGCATTTTTTGCCATTTTCCTGCCTGTTGGCTCAAGTTTGTTTACAAAAACACGAACACTGGATGTGTCTTTTTGATACTTTAGTCAGCTTTTTCTAATTTTTCAAACTTCGGTGCGTCTCAATGCAGTTTCTTCGCTCTGCTTTTAAAAATCAGTTATTGCTTGCAAAATAAAAGCCAAAATCAGATTTTTGACGACATTTTGCACAAGTTTTATTTTTGCATTTTTTTGTTACATAATCCTGATTTATAATAGATTAATTAAAAAATTTTTAAAACACCAGATTCTTACGTGTTGCATTTTTACCACAATAACTGTTTTGTTGCGTGCAGAAATGAAACCTTTCAGCTATTTACACTCGTGAGAAAAAAGTGGTGGCAAAATAATTTGACATTTTTAATTAAATACAGCAGCACATTTGTACACAATAATAAAAAATACACATAAGTTTACATTTGGATGCTCCATGCATATCACTTTTAACCACAATAAACATGTTCTTTCTGCAACACAAGAGGTTTTATTCCTTGATATGTTTGAGCTGTCACACTTCACCGCACTCTGGTCAGGCACAGATGCATTTTGAAGTATTTCAGGGATTACACACATTCTTCAGTCAGATGTTCAGTCTGCAGTCTTTTGGTTCCCTCTCTTTAAAAAGTGTAGAGGGACTGGTTCTACTACTACCACTTTAATAAATACAACTGGTGATTTTTTTCAGGGATTACTGTGAAACTGGATTATTTTCACACATAACCTAAATTTACAATTAAAGCAGTGAACAGAAACATGTATGCATCACTGAGGTGTCTTTAATTTTTATATTAATGTGCACATGTGGTGTCACAAAGTCAGGAGAAACTTTAATCAAACTTTACAATGCAATAACTATTAGTAAAATGCCACATTACTAACAAGCTGGTAACTCAGAAGTGGGATCCCAGTGTCATGTGAAGACACTTAACCTGTAATAATCCATTAAAATCAACCAACAATTCCAGTTTACTAGTTGGTTAGGATGGGCTCCTTTCCACTGTATATATTTGATGCATAAAGTACAAAAAGAAAAAAAAATATGCTGCAGCATTTGCACACATTTCAACGGTAAAGAGTTTAAAATCAGTTCAAATGGGGATTAAAATTAAATCTGTCTTTAAATTAAAGTTATTGTGTTCTGTCACTGTGTGAAATGATTGGTATTAAATGATCATGGCTTGAAAAATAAGTTTCCTTTTTTCTTTGCGAATGTTTAGATGTAATAACATCATCATGAATTATTAGGGATGGACAAATATATCGGCATCAATATCGGTATCGGCCGATGTTAGTCATTTTTTAACATATCGGTATCGTCTGATAAACAAAACCGGGCCGATATTAACAACCGATATTTTTTCCATCTTGTCTCCATTTGTTTGCCTATTTCAGAGGGTGAGGGGGTTGATGTGTATTTTAGTCATGTGACCAGTGAATGTAATCATCTCAGAACCTTTAATGTGTGTGGTGTGTGAACAAAATAATATAAATTCAGCTTTAATAATTTTCATTTTATACAAAATCTGCTGATTTCAGAAGCATTAATGTCAGTATATCGGTATCAGCAAATATTGGTTATCGGTCATAACAGTGATCTTAATATTGGATATCGGACTGTATCGGCCCAAGAATGTCATATCGGTGCATCACTATGAATTAGGGCTGGGCAATAAATCAAAAATTTATCGATATCGAAATTTCTGACTTCATGGAGATAATTTATCCCGTGTCAATAAAATTGATAATAAAAAATGAAAAGATGTGTGTAGGTTGGCAACGTTCATGTCCCTCTAAGAAGCTGTACCACCTATAATACACGTGACAGCCCCATCGAGTGGACAACTTTTGTTTGTGCGTATTCCTGTAGTTATCGTCCATTTATCGTTATCGAGGTGAAACCCTCAATACATCGTGATATTGATTTTAGGCCATATCGCCCAGCCCTACTGTGAATTATAGAATAATTTTGATTTTATCGTGAAGATACCGTTCTCCGTTGTGTATACGTTTTGTTCTGAATGCCATCTTCTCTCTTGACTCTGTTTTTTTTTCTCATTGAAAGGTCGAAAACGAAGTCGGGCTCTGCGACCACGCTCTCCTATCCTTGAGGCAAAGGACATTCCACCTTTGGAGCTCCCCAAGTCCTCTGAGGACCTCCTGGTTCCTACCTCACAGGTCCTCAATGTTTCTGCGGTCTACGAGGTTCTGCGCAACTTTGGCACCGTCTTGCGTCTTTCCCTCTTTCGTTTTGAAGATTTCTGTGCGGCCCTGACCAGCCAAGAACAGTGCACACTGCTGGCAGAGACCCACATCTCCTTGCTCAAAGCTATCCTCAGAGAAGAAGACACTTCAAACACCACATTTGGTCCCGCTGACGTGAAGGACTCCGTTAACTCCACTCTATATTTTGTGGATGGGATGACTTGGCCGGAGGTGGTACGAGCGTACTGTGAGAGTGATTCTGAATACAGGCACGTTCTGCCTTTCCTGGAAAACGAGGATTATCCATATGAACCATTGGAGAACAAAATTAAAGTTCTCCAGTTTTTGGTGGACCAGTTCTTGGCAACTAATATTGCCCGGGAGGAGCTTATGTCTGAAGGGGTGGTTGCCTATGACGACCACTGCAGGGTGTGCCACCGTCTCGGCGACCTGCTGTGCTGTGAGACGTGTTCGGCTGTTTACCATTTGGAGTGTGTGAAGCCGCCGCTGCAGGAAGTGCCAGAAGATGAGTGGCAATGCGAGGTGTGTGTGGCTCACAAGGTACCCGGCGTGGCAGACTGTATCCCCGAAATGCAAAAGACCAAACCGTTCCTCCGTCAGCTGCCGATTGGCTTTGACAGACACCACCGTAAATACTGGTTCCTGAACCGCCGGATCGTTATGTAAGTTCAGCGTTTCATTACAACAGATGCATGGGATTCAACTGAGGGACTGATTCCATGTTTGTCTTGTTGCACATTGCAAATAGAAATGAAGGAAAAGATGTATTTTGTCTTTAAATTACTGAAAATTCGATGATGAAAGATTAATCTCATCTGAACCAGGGGTAGGCAACCCTGTTCCTAGAGAGCTGCAGTCCTGCTTGTTTTCCAACTGTCTTTGTTGTTCCTGCTGTCGATTACCTGGATCAGGTGTGTTCAGCCAATTAGAAGCTACACGTTCACGCAAGGCTGGAAACATGCAGGACTGTGGCTCTGTTGGACCAGGGTTGCCCACCCCCGATCTAAACTAAGTGTGGGCGGGGGATGTTGATTTGATTGGCAGAGTTTATTATTTTCCATCTAGAGGGGGGGATGCCAGTAATATATTTGATTGGCTAAATATATTATTGGCATCCAGAGAGGGAATGCAGGGCACTCAAATGCATAATAGCCTTTCCTTAATTGTATCTTGAGCTGTGTTTTGCTAAATGAAAATGACACATCTTCATTTGATGAACAGACACACTTTCAACATATTGTAGGTTAGAGGAGTGATTTATCAGAGTTGCTAAAATATGGAAATAAATACACACACAGGTTCATAGATTGTGAACTTTTGAAATACAAAACATGACAACTGCATGTATTATGAATCATAACACATGCAGTTGTCATGTTTTGTACTTTGATGTGGTGCATTAGGATATGTGGTACATTAGGATATGTGGTACATTAGGATATGTGGTACATTAGGATATGTGGTACATTAGGATATGTGGTACAGTAGGATATGTGGTACATTAGGATATGTGGTACATTAGGATATGTGGTACATTAGGATAAGAAGATTCAATAGATTTCCATCTGCTTTGCTTCCAAGAACTTCTTCTCGTGTTTAAAAAGATGGACACCAGCATTAAGGCTGATTTATACTTCTCCCGTCAGCTTGAGTTTGGACTCGTGCACATGCATGGATCTCTCCATCACCTGGGGATTGTTGCAAAGCAATTCACCGCTAGGACAACAGGGGGCGTAGTCCTTTTTTTGGGGTTTCCTGCCATCATTAAAATCATGTATCTGGTCCACTTAGTGCATTGTGTTTATGGATTCAGAGACTTTAACGCAGATTAACTTGTCCCTCGTTCTCCTCCACCTCCTCGTGCGGTCGCCACCAAACCCACGTTTTCCATAATATTTGTTCACAAATAAAACTCCGGTACTCCTTCAGTTACAGGTGAACAAACATTCATATTTTTGGACTTTTCCCACAAAATGTTCTTCAATCTGTCCCGTGTCTGCTGCTAAATATCTTTGGCTCGCATTAATTGTTGCGAGGGGGAGTGGCGGTGCTGCTGATGAAGTTCAAGGAAGCGGCATGCTGACCATCCACCTGTCGGAGAGCTCTTGCTCCGTTGCATAATGGCGTTGCGTGTCTCAGTACCCACGCAGACGGAGAAGTTTAAATCAGGCCTAAGGAGTTCAATCCATAAATCGCAAAACACATTTCATTTGCTGCTTTTTGTTGTTGTTATAATCTAAAACACTTCGCATTAAAAACGTTACTTTCACGCGTCAGCATGGTGCAACCGATTAACGCCAAAGGCGCCCAATACAGATTAATAACATGATCAAGAATATATGATTTATTCTGTCAGTTTGTCGTAGTTTCGGTTATTCAGGGGACACGCTTGTGTGCGTGATGTAAAAAGCGCCGTTCAGTGACCAGCAGAATCACCGTTTCTTACCGTTCCCCGTGGGTTCCACAGAGCAGCACTGTGGAGGGATTTCTGCCGCATTTTTGGTTGTTTGGTATGTGTAACTAAATGAATGCTGCTCATTGTGTTCTTCCTTCCAGCTTGACCAGCAACTCTCCCAACTTAACAAAAGCTGTTTTTTTTTTGCCATCATCTGTCAAAGTGATTTCTTACAGAGTAACAACTAGGGATGCTCCGATCTGCAAACTGTCATGGTTTCTCAGTCCTGCAGCGCCAGAGGTGTTGTGCAGAGAAAAGTTAAAAAGGGACTCGGTGTCACACTCAAAATCAAGCGACTGTGACCTGATCTGATCGGAAGCAAAAAAAAAAAAAAACGTGATCAGAAACTCCCTACAACCAATCAGCACCAGTTTACCACAAGTCCCACCCCCCAGTGACTTTACCGGGTCTTTTCAGAGTACATATCGCAATACAGGTACTCAGTTGGTCCCTAAGCGGTCCTTTCTGGTTGGCCCAGTGAAATGGACACACGCACATGCAGTGATGGTCCGGTAAAATTATCCGGCAGTTCTGACGGTGGAAACGGGCCCAATGTCGGCACGTAGTGATAAGAACCAAAGTCTGGCTCAAGCTAAGATTGTGTTGATGGAAAGTCTTAGTAGGTGGTCTGAGCTGTCTGGATTTATTTTACAGTTTTTCAAAAGCACAAACCATCTTACTCAAATGTTGTGTTGTAGAACAAGTAATACACCATCCAGATTCAATTCCAAAGTAAAAAACAACATCTATATGGATTCTCCTCTCACTGTAGTTTATCTCTACTGATTTTCTTGGTCCCAAACCAGTAAACGTAGATCTCTTGAATGTAGTTAACTTCATTTTTGGTTTTAGTTGGGAGATACTCTTGAATAAACTGAAATATACAGAGTATTTTTAAATAACCTGGTCATCTACTCAAGTTGGCACTGAGTACGTAGTCACATAGTGTGTGTGTGTGTGTGTGTGTGTGTGTGTGTGTGTGTGCGTGCGTGTGTGCGTGTGTGTGTGCGTGTGTGTGTGTGTGTGTGTGTGTTGGGTCACCAGCAGCAGACGATCCTCCATATAAACTGTGAACGGGGAACAGGGATAAATCAATTAAATTATATAGGATTTACATAGTGTGACTTAATGTGAAGTGTGTGTGCATACACACACAGAAGCCTGCTTAATAGACGCTAGTGTTACATGATGTCAGGCCTCACAGTTCCGTGCTATGATCTCAGCAAAATGACGGTCCGATTCATATTTTCTGCTTCAAAACATCCACGAGTTTTAATGAAAATTCAGGCGCACTTATTTTCCAAATAACTTTTTTTGTCACGCCCCCTTTTTAAAAGCAATAATCCCAGATTACCAGTTAGTCAGATCATTTGAATATTTAGAGTCCTGTCTAAATAATTGTACACAAAGAGGACACAAAGCTCTGGTGCAGCATTTTAAGGTTCTAGAAGATTGCCACGTCAGAGGACCAGCCTGGCCCGCCACACTCCTCCGTTAAATTCTGCACAGAGAACGGGTCTGGGAACTCTCCTATTCAAATAACCCCGCCCCGTGAGAATTCTAACTGCGCTCATCAGCGCTGAGCAGCGTACGTCACACACCATAACGCCGAGTTTGTTGAACATGGCGACTGAAGCAGGGTTCGCTGCGGCTCTTTCCTCTGTTCTAAATGACTTGGACACGTCTTTAAAACCACAAGTAGAAGCGCTAAAAGCCTTGTTTTTAAAGAAGGATGTTTGTGCTGTCGCCAGACTCCATTTTTGACTACAGCTAAAAAAACTGCAGACGTCGCAGACGTCGCACACAACGACGCTCCGTTTCTCATAAACAACGAAGACAGCGGCGGCGTTCGCTGCGGCTCTTTCCTCTGTTCTAAATGACTTGAGTGTCTTTAAAACAACAAGTAGAAGCGCTAAAAGCATTTCTTCTTAAAAAAAAAAAGATGTTTGCGCCATTGCCAGACACACGGTACAGTCGGCATTTCCTTCTTTTTTCTGATTGGTTACTTTTGAGCCGCGTAGTCCCACCCCTCAAGTGCCTCTCTGCCTGTGAGTTACCAGACTCTGTCTCTGTGCAGAATTAAAGAGAGGAGGAGTCTGGCAGGTCAGGCTATCAGAGGACAGCTGCAGACGGCAGAATGTGCAGTCTTGTATCCTGATATTTGGACATCTTGCCTCTGATTGAATAACAGCAGCGCATCTTTACCCCTGACTCCATTTGCTTTGCAATGTTGATGTTTTAGCTCCACAAATAACACAAGCCTTGGAGGAGTTCTGCTGTGTGGTAGAGTTGCTAATGCTAACGGTTAGCTTCTACTAGACCGAGACATTATCAGTTTCCTGGACGCTAAACCAGCAACAGCCTTCTCCGTCACGAGTCAAGATGAGTGAGCCCATAAATGTTAAGTGACAGTGTGACATAGATCTGTCAAGACTTTCAAATCCTAGATTTTCACTGTCTATTTTCTATCAGAAGCTCTTGCAGGTGTAGGAGACTATTTTCATGTTCAGACTGCATAAAAAACTCAGTGACTGATTATGATATCTATTAATATGATAAAATAACGATTAAAGTTTTTTCAGTGTTCCACACCTTTAAGATCCCGTTATTCAGCGAAAGACCTCAGATGTAATATCTGAAGTGTCCCTAAAGGCCAGCCACGTTCACCCGTTCTGACTTGCGTTGTTTCTAGTGAAACAAAAGCTGAAATGTTCATAATCACGCGATAAATTCTGTGATTATGTTTTTTGGAGAACAGTTTTTAAGGCACAACCTGCCAAAAACGCCTTTAATAGTCATGTTTCAGTGACATTTCTGGAGGGGGGTGGTGGGGGGGGGGGTGACTGTGAGATACTAAATAAATAAAATAGTCCCCTTCAGGATTTTGCTTGGATGTCAGCATGTCGTAGCTGCTTCAGCGGTGAGTGACATCACTGATCGGAGCCAAAGCTTGACCACAAACATTGCCAACAATAAACTTTTGGTAAATTGGAAAATGGTCCTTTAGAGCCGATCCGGTGAGGCACATGCTGCGAAGATTGGGTAAAATTACCCGGGAGTTCTGATTGGTGAAAACTGACCTAACGTCACATAAAACATGTATTCAAGCTGACTTAACAGTTTTTATGCTCTCATCTCTCACAGTGAGGAGGAAGGTGAGCAGGAAGATAAAGCCACGTGGTACTACAGCACCAAGGTAAACTGAGATCATCGGTTTTATTACTGATTATTATCATTTTTTATCACACCAATCTTTTCTGTTTCAGGTCCAGTTAGCTGAGCTGATAGATGGCTTGGATAAGGAATACTGGGAGGCCGACCTAAATGCGGCTCTGGAGGAGATCAGAGATGAGGTGCACACTCACATGGACATCACCGAGGACCTAACCAACAAGGCTCGTGGCAGCAACAAGTGTTTCCTCACAGCGGCAAATGGTAAAGCACAAGTCTGTCTCTCTTCAGTCATTTCCTAAGTCCTTGGGGTCTGCCTTCTGTTGCTGACATAGTAGTGGGGGGGTGCCACCTTAAGTACCTCACGGTCCGATTCGATTATTAAGCAATTATCACGATTTCAACTATTTTTGATGTATTTTTTTCCCACTGTTTGTTTTTTTACTCACGTCATAGCTGTTTCATCATTTCTAATTAATTCAAGTTACCAAAAACACGAATAATGAAAATGAAAGTAAACGCGGGCAGTCATTGTGGTGGCTTTTTGACCTCGCAACCTTGAAAAGACCCCTGCATCAGGTTTGCTTCTGTGAACAGAGTCAGCTGAGATGGCAAACTGCAGCGATGCCGAGATCTGGAGTTTCTGGCGTTTAGATTTGAAACTCGGATCATCAGACAGTCCACGTGAGACACCTTTTGGAGTTGGTGATAAAACTTAAAGGGATACTATGCACATTTTCATATTTTTAAATCATTTTCTTGGAGTGGGGAGACGGTGGCACAGGAGTTAAGTGCTCACCCCGTAATCGGAAAGTTGCAGGTTCGAGCCCCGCTCAGTTAGTCGCTGTCGTTGTGTCCTTGGGCAAGACACTTAACCTCCTTTGCCTGCTGGTGGTGGTCGGAGGGACCGGTGGCGCCAGTGCTCGGCAGCCTCGCCTCTGTCAGTGCGCCCCAGGGCAGCTGTGGCTACATCGCAGCTCATCACAACAGGGCGGGACTGCGGGAAGGCCGCTGAATCGTTCCAGGGTCACTGCAACCCTTCCAACCCTCAATGCTCCTCCCCCTATCCACACTGAGGCGACATGCGCTGCTTATCGTGGCTGCAGGAACTGAAGTGGGGTTAGTCCCAACCCACCACCCCACCTAGTGGACACTTATGTTGTGTTGTCTGAAGTCTGTTGCATATATGTTTGAGGTGTTTTATTATTATTATTTTTTTGCAGAGCAAAGCTGCTCTCCTGGTGGAGGGTAACTCTGAAGTGCCCTTTTTTCCCTCCACCTGAACCAATCCTCATGTAACCCTCTTATCTCTATTAAGGTAGCACGAATTAGGGTTGCAAATGACCACAGTCACCAATTCTTGTCATGTGTCTTGCCCATGTATGTCTGATCTCTGAGTTGTGTGTACTGAAACTCTAATTTCCCTCTGGGATTAATAAAGTATCTTTGATTTGATTTGATCACCACCAGGGTGTGAATGTGTGTGTGAATAGGTGAATGGCTGATTGTGTTGTAAAGTACCTTGGGGGGTTCCAGGACTCTAGAAGGAGCTATATCAAATACAGGCCATTTCTTGAGTCAGTATGTGCTAAAATGACTATTTACAAGGTTAAGGAAATGTCACTCAGACGCCACTGCCCTTTGTGGCCAGAATACCGCATTTGCAACTTCAGTGTGGCGGTCTGTTGGACATGCCTTGTGCTGCAGTCAGCCTTTAGCGTGTTTTAGATCATGAAAACAGCTTATTTGTTTAATTTAGAGACGGATCGCTCCTGTGGACACTAATGAAATCGTTGCAGCTGTTAGATTAAAGTGTTAAAAAGAGGAGATAATTTCAGTTTGACCCCAGAGAATTAATAACGGATACCGGGGGGGGGGGGGGGGGGGGGGGGGTGAAAGCAAGCAAAACAGCCAAGTGTGCCTTTGAGGAGCGTTGCTTCAGTTGGCATCAAACCCACTTTAAACCGCCATTGTGTAATCTTTGTGTAAACATAAGGTCAGGCCGCGTTACTGCCACAGGCTGCCCACTTGTAAATGACCAAAGGCTCGCTGGTGCTGCCTCAGCTTTGCAGCAAAGTAGCGCCGTAGTTTTATGAAAGAGACAAGTTGGTGAGCAGGAACAACCATCGGCTTCTCTTCATCTTACCCGGTATGGAGACACGTAAGCTGCTGTCGCATGTTCATAGTGTTGCTGTTGTTTTTTATTTTAGTTTTACACAACTTTCCTCTAACGATGAGTAAATCCCACTCTCAGTGGCTGAAGCATAGAAGTGAAGCTGCCACCATTGCTGTTTTGTTTTTTCTCCTGGTCCGTCCCCTAAAGTCTCCAGGCGGTACTCCGTATTGATATGTTCCTACGTTCCTAAATGAAAATAATTTTTTTAGCTTTTAAATAATATGTAGCAATAAAGAAGATGAAATCTTGTAAGCAATAATGTAAAAAGAAAAATATTCTAACATGCCAAAAAAATTAAACATGAGTTTTCCTTCAAAATTTTCCATATTTTTAGAATTTTTTGTATTTAGTAAATGTTTTTCTTTCCTCCGTTGTTTGCGGTTCACATTTCAATATTTAGAGAGTAAAATATGCTCCACTAAAAGTTGGATAATGTGATGAGGTGTTTTATTTTTGCGATTTCAGTACCTTACATTATTGTTACCCAAATTGCTCCATATTCATAAAAAATGCTAAAAATTTCACATCTGTCCTTTCTTTTATTTGGTGTGGAAGTTGAAGGTTAAAACAGCAAAATACACAAATGTGTAATTTAGAACCCCCCCCCCCCCCCCCCCCCCCCCCCCCCCCCCCTTTGTGCCTCCAGAGGAGATCCTGGAGCGACTGCGAGCCAAGAAGGAGGGCGAGCTGGAAGAGGTGAAGAGGCGAGCAGCTGAGGAGGCTCAGAAAGCCCGCTTGGAGAAGGAGGCTGAGGAGGCCAAGCTGAAGGACGAGGGACAGCAGGATGGGGTGGTCAGCGAGCCAATAAGGGATGAGCAGGGGCCAAAAGAAGAGATTGCACAGGAAAAAGAGGATGATGTCAAGAGCAGAGGTAAAAATAATTTATGTAGGACCAAAAGATGAAAAATGCTGCATGAATACACAAAATTTTAATTGTCGGCATAAACTAGATGATGCTTTTCCACCATAATGTCGATATTTACTTAGATATTAAATATCTGCTTTCAGCTGAAACTTTTTGACCTTGACTGAATAGGTTCACCTCTAAAGGCTGACCGACATGGTTATTTTTAAGGCCGATACCGATTTTAAAAGAATTTTGTTGCCGATGGCCGATATCTAAAGCCGATTATTAAGGCTAATATATATATATTAATATATATATATATATATATATATATATATATATATATATATATATATATATATATATATATATATATATATATATATATATATATATATATATGCACGTTTTAGCAGCACATTGATTGTGAAAGACAACCGAACTCTCACTGCGTCAAATATAAATTAAATAAGTCAATAAATCTCTTAATCACATCAAGGAAGGTCTACGCTAGAACCTTCCTTTTACTTACATTGTTTTATGCTAAGCTAAAGCTAAACTTACTGCTTCCAGATCAGGAGAACGACTGAGCGTGTTAGCTACAAATCCGTTTTCTCACTTATGTAACTCTGGCGAATCTAACAGACAAAAATGTACTTAGGGGTGAAATATTCCCTTAGGTGTAAACCATGAAAAAGGCACCTGATTTTTATTGTATTTATTTATTTTATCTGCTTTTAAAAATAATTTCAGCAGATGGCCGATATAGAAAATATTGGTCGGCCTCTATTCACCTCACCCGTCTCCATCTCACTAATACACCAATGCTGCTGCTGATGTTTTCTAGCCAGTGAAGATGCCCTCACTGGTCAGGATGGAAGCAGCGGTTGCAGCGCCTCAGATGGACCTCCATCGACCTCCTCTCTAGCACAAACCTCCTCTGGTCTGGTCTCTGTGACTCCAAAGCCCGTAGCTCCAACCTCAGAGGTCAAGACAGAAGGATGTTCCAACATGGAGGAGTCTCACAAAGCTGAAGGTATAAAAACATTTTGGTTGTAACATTCTCCTCATTAGTAGTTTCTGGATTTTGCATTTTTTCCCTTTAATTTGATTAAACGAGTCTGTCAGGCTAAATTCACTCCATGCGGCTCTTATTTTGGAAAGTCGGGCTTCAGTTCTGGGAATGCTCTGCGAGTCTTGTTTATCATTCTGTTGTTCCTTTAACGAGCTGGAAAGCTCTTTGTGATACTCTTGATTTATAATCTCACAACACTTTCTACTATCCATGGTTCTGCTTTCTTTATCAAAGGATAAATGGCAGAATGATGTTAGTCGTATTGTTTTTATGTCAGTTTCAGATTCACCCTGTTTGGTTTTGGCTTAAATTAAACCAAATGTGCACTTTTGAGAACTTTTATTGTCTGTTTTTGATGCAAATGGTCCTTTCTGTTAGATGCATGGCTTCCCTGTGACCAGCAGAGGGAGCCACAGCCATAAACATTTTCTTTGCACCAAGTTTTCATTTCGTTGTCCTTTTATAAGTTATCAGTTGGCGTTTTATACTTTTTGTTGGTTGACTGGTTTAGTCATTTAAGGTTATGCTTTAAGATATTTCTGTTTGAAACTAGTTCAGAGTTAACAATCTGAAATTAGAAGAATAAAAGCAAAAACTGCAACTATAAAACTTGCAACCCTTTTGTTTCTCAGCAGTTTGTACCTTTTAATGCTCATTTTCTGAATGTTTTGCAGGAAACCCATCCTCCGCTTCTGTCCCTGTCTGTGGAGAGGGTGTTCCCAGTTTAAGCCAGCCCTCCCAGCCCTGCGAGGACAACAGCAACAGCAGCTTAGGGACTGGCGTCCCTCCGAGGGGTCCTGAACCTCCAGACTTGGCAGACCGGTCCTCTCAGTCATCACTGGCAAGCCTCGATGACTCAGGTTCTTTTTTTTTTTTTAACGCTACAAATCGTATCGACCAAAAAAACGCTCTGATTGGATGGTTGAAGCTGATGATATGATTTAAACAGGTTTAATGACACATTTATTCTCACACACCTGGACTTAGAGTAGAATTTTACCAAACGTCTGATATGACCGAAATCTAGGAGTTATTTTTCTTTATAAAACGTTGATTTTCTACCATCTACCAACTTCAGCTTCTGAAGCAAAGTCAGCTTTTGTGTTTTTGGCTAAACTGATCTCTGCACCTCCAGGGGACAGTAAAGAGTCCTCCAACGGGGAGGCGGGGAGCCTGGGCAGTAAGAAATCCTCAGCGACTCGCATGGTGACCCGACTGAGGAACCCAGACAGCAAGCTGAGTCAGCTGAAAAACCAGCAGGTTGCTGCTGCCGTTCATGAAGCCAACAAGGGCTTCAAGGAGGGCAAAGAGGTGAGGACGAAGAACACTCTGATCTTCTCATCGCCGTGGAGACAATGACAAAAGTTGTGATTAGAGTTCATGTGAGGGGTTCAGGTCCAGCAGCGGCGACTGACTCTAGCCTTGATCATGTGGTGCTTTTCGTAGGTCCTGGTGGTAAACGCACAAGGTGACATCACTCGGGTCAACACACGCAGCAGCAAGGATGTGGTGATGAAGGGGACCCTCAGCCAGTTCTTCAAGCTTGGCCAAGAGGGCAAGTACCGGGTCTATCATAACCAGTACAGCTCCAATAATTTGGCCCTCAACAAGCACCAGCACAGAGAGGTCAGAAAATGCACCACGCTTGCTTTTCTCTTCAGGGTTTATAAATTATTACTTTCTAACAAACCCAACTAAACCTAATTTCCAGGACCACGACAAGAGGCGGCATCTAGCTCACAAGTTCTGTATGACAACGGCTGGAGAGTTCAAGTGGAACGGGTCCATTCATGGCTCCAAGGTTCTGACCATCTCCACGTTGAGACTCACCATCATGCAGCTTGAGAACAATGTTCCGGCGCCGTTCATGCACCCTAACTGGGCCTCACACAGGTACCAGAGCCAGGGCAGGAGCGGGATGTAAAAACTAAAACGCTTATTTGTTTCTGTTTTCGTTTAGTTCTGTAGCATCAGATTCTGATTCAAAGAATTTTAAAGCTGCAATAGCGAATTTGGAAAACAACATTTTTTCGTGCATTTGAACCCTTTTGGCGCCAGAGTTTTTTTCCCAAGGAAAATGTTCATTTTTGACATAATTTCAAAAGGTTGTAGCTTGGGAAAGGTTAGAGATGGGGGTAAACGGTAAATGAGAAAAATCTTCAGTAGGACCCAAAGTTTGTGTTGGGAGCAAATTCACTCATCTAATTAGCATATTATGACCTCATCAGGCTGTCGCATTGGAATGCAACATTTTTACAAATGTTCTTTCGTATTTTTACATATTTTGAAATTGTTATTATATTTTGAAATATTTTTGTTTATATTTACATATAACGCTCTTTTTAAATAAAAATTGAATATATTAATTTTATATTTATGATTATGTGGCATACTGACTTCCATATCGTTACGTATCCAAGGGGTCAATTTTTCATCATCTAATTGACTCAACATAACCTTTCATACACATTCAAGGCTGTCGGGGCCCAGACGCCCAAAACTACCCTTTGCCCACTTATTGTTCCTCAAAGGAGACATAAACAGTCTCGCTCAAGATCTCCTGCCATCTCTGTGTAAAAGCCAGACTTCAACACTCTTCACTCTGAATAAGTGAAGACTACATGACTTTACAACTCATAAGCTTAATCGTATGTGATGAATGAACAAGATGTTTAAGTCAAATGTTTGAATAATCTGTGCAAAAATCAATGAATTTCAAATGAATATTGTTCTTACAATGATCCATTCATTTCACGAATCAGCATGTGTTTGATTTAACAAGTTAATCAAATAATAAGAATAATTCGTGCTGATCTCCTCCCGTCCTCTCCCCGACCGGCAACCTCTCGGCGGGAGGCAGTTTTCAACCTCTAAAAACTCAGAAGCTCCACTATCTTCTGGTGTAAAGTAGTAACTTCATCAGGGATCATATTTGTAGCTGACTCGTTAAAGTCAGCAATGACGCCTGTCGCAATATTGCAACTTTTGCGCTTAAATAATAATAATAATAATAATAATTATAATGCACTGAACTTCTATAGCGCTTTTCAGGACACTCACAGACGCTTTTTACTCTCTCACATTCACACACTGCCAGTGATGGTAAGCTACTTGTAGCCACAGCCGCCCTGGGGAGGTCTGACAGAGGCGAGGCTGCCATTTGGCGCCGTCGGCCCCTCTGACCACCACTAACACAGGCAAGTTGGGTGAAGTGTCTTGCCCAAGGACACAACAGCAGGATACCCCTGGCAGGAGCTGGAATCGAACCCATGACCCTCTGATCATGAGGCAACCCGCTCTACCACCTGAGCTACTGCTGCCCTGAAAGGGTTAAAGGGTTAAAACATTCTAACATATTTTGTTATAAATATATTGTGGGGATAAAAAAAATAATTAACTCATTCACTGCCAGACGTTCCTGGTCAGTAAAGCCCTTTGCTGCCAGCAATTTTCAAAGTTTGGACTTAAAATGACGACTTTTGCCGTCAATGGCAGTGAATGAGTTAAGTGGTTCCCTCGCATTTGTCTAAAAACCAATAACACGTTTGGATCGTCTGATTGTCGGTCTCGCCAAACCGCCGCACTTATGCACTTTCCTGGGTCCTCCAATCATTACGTACTCGCGTATTTAGCAACAGAACACCACTGGTGTGAGAGGTTCTCCACTCAATAATAGCAGAGAAGGAGAAACAGCCAGCTGCTACCACTTCAACTTTAGGACAAACTACCAGAGTCCCGAAAAGAAAAACTCCATTTGAAGTCACGGGTGTTTGGACCTAGAAATGGCGACTGGTGTTTAGCGCTCTCTTGTTTCCTCTGGTAATGATACCCTGGAGGAGGGGTGGGCGATATAGCCTAAAATCTATATAGCGATATAATTAGAAAAATGTGCGGTAACGTATATATTGCGATATATGACTTTCTTTTGTATACATGTCAAAAACGACTGTTTCTAAACTTACTCACGCACCAGATACATTGCAGCAGCAGAATAAACACACTTCAAACAGTAGAAAATGCCATTTATTGTGCAAAAATCAAAAAGCTTTACGAGTAATATTTAAGATGTGTAACACATCTTTTTCCAAAAAAATGGAACACACCAAAATAAAATTTTGGATATTTTAAATAAAAATACAAATAAATGTTTGCAAAACACAAACGTTTTTAAAATAAAGTGAAAAATGGAGTTCTTGCTTTACTTGCTCGCGGACTTTCTCGTACAGTTTTGGCATCTCTGTTTGGCTGAAGTGTTTGCGGCTCGGTACCTTGTAACGTGGATCGAGTGTCTTAATCATGTCCCAAAAGCCGATCTTCTCCACTGTAAGAAACGGCACCATGTCCTTACGCAGGTACGTGGTAATGGCATTTGTAATATCAATCCACCGTTGATTATTTCCCTCATAAAGAGTGCCTTCAGCAGATGCTTGTAAAATATCGGTCTGCTGGTGTGTAAGATCACCTTTTTTCTTACCGCTCAACTGACTGGGCGTTTGTTGAGGACGCAGTTTTTGGCTTTCTTCGTATTCCACAACGTGCTTCGTTTTGAGGTGGTAAAACAAATTAGATGTATTCCCTCTATTTGCCAATACTTTCTTTCGGCATACTTTGCAGATTATATAGTTCTGCTCCACATCTGACTCCTTAAAGCCAAACCAAGTCCAAATGACCGATGTTGCGCCGGTCTTCTTTACGAGAACCTCCTCCTCCTCCACAGGCTCCATGCTTTCAGCCTCAACAGACGCCACTTGATGACGTCATCAACATGCGCTACCGCGATAGGCCGATATAGTCAAAATTTCTACCGTTGGCCAAATTAATATCATTTCTACCGTATACCGTTTATACCGCCCACCCCTACCCTGGAGTAGGGGTGAGTGCTTCGTTACCATGTTAGCGTTCAAAACCTAGCTTGTTCTGTAGATTTGCTATAGCAGCTTTAACGTCTGCTACAGGTGTAAGCATGGCAGGAATTGTGACATGATATATTTCTTAAACACAGTGTTTACCAGATTTAAGAAGTTTGTTTGTTTGTTTGTTTACTTTATTTTATTGCAGGACCAACTGGATCAAAGCCGTTCAGATGTGCAGCAAAGCCAGAGAGTTTGCTCTGGCCCTGGCCATCCTGGAGTGTGCTATTAAACCCGTGGCTATGCTGCCGGTCTGGAAAGATTCTCTGGGTCATACAAGGTAGTCAAGTGTTGCACATTTTGTGTGTTTGTGTGTGTTGTTTCAGAACAATAACAACTTTTGGAAGGAGTTCATTTAGCTTATTTTATTTTAGAAGGCAAACAAAATAAACTCAGATTTGACATTTTCTAACTTTACCAACCAGTCGTCCATGTTTGCAGTTTTGCACAGTTTCCTGTTTAGGTCCAGTGTAAGGAAGCACGTTCACAAGGAATGTTTGCTGAGCCGATCATAACCAGTTCAGCTCTGGAGGCCCAACCTAGACGTTGAGCAAAACATTTGGACTGCAGGTCCATGAACAGCCGAGCACGACTCGCCTCTGCATCAGCGCCACTCGGCCCTTTTTTTTTAAAGAGGCGGTTGTACAAATTTCACAAGATTGGGATCAGGATTAGGATCTGAGTTAATTACAATCATCTGCTTGAATAAAGATGTAAAGATTTGGATTTGATTTGACAGAGAGCTTTAAATAACTAGAACGAGAATAACTTTATTTAAAAAAAAAAAGATCTCATGAAAGTACTGGATGTACTTCCCATCTGCATTTTCCTCTTTAGAACATTATGAAGAGAAAATTCAGATAGTTCCACATAAGCTTCTCATCTAGAGTTAAAAAACTACAAGCTTTCATTTATGAGAATTAAAACCATGTTTAGGTTAAACCGCATGACGTCTATGGAGCGTGAAGAGAAGGAGAAGGTGAAGAAGAGGGAAAAGAAGCTGGAGGACGAAGAGACGATGCAACAGGCAACCTGGGTCAAGTACACGTTCCCCATTAAGCACCAGGTAGGTTACATCTAACCCCGACTCACCCACTTTCTACCTGTTCTTATAAACCTCGGCTCTCTTGTTTGACCTGGGCTTTTGTCAGAAATGTCATTTATTCTGTTTTTATGAATTTTTTCTTTTCTTACTTGATCTCATCTGAAGGTGTGGAAGCAGAAGGGCGAGGAGTATCGCGTTACAGGTTATGGGGGCTGGAGTTGGATTAGTAAGACTTACGTATCCCGATTTTATCCCAAGCTACCCGGCAACACCAACGCCAACTACCGCAAAGAGCTAGAAGGTCTGCACCTTAAAAAAACAATTCAAATCATAACTTAGTACAGTCCTTACGGCTAAGCTTCAAAAGGTAATTGTTAGGGTGTAAAAAGTTACACTTTTCAGCAGAGAAATCATTTTTTCTATTTACGGCTTTGATTATTTCTAGTTACAGAAGGTTGTTTGAAACTTCTGTGAGTTCAGTGACAGGTGGATCGTATCTTAGAAAATTACATTACACTCATTTTCAAATAAACCACTTTTGGAAATAACAATTTGTTCTCATTTTTTCCTCCAAAGACGCTAAACTTGGGAAGAAATGTTCCTTGTTGGATCTGAGCCGACAGCCCAGTGCTGCCGCTGCTCTGGAGGCTTGGGACGGATCTGCGTCGGGCGGCGAAACGAAAGATCCCACGTGTGTCTCTGCGGCACCTGCTGAAGAGGCGCCCCCCACGGTGAAAATGGAGGGAATAAAGGAAGAAGAACTGGATGAAAAGGAGGAGAAGAAGGAGTCAACAGTTGAGTCTCCTACTAAGATGGAAGTGGATGCCACACACTCGTCAAGAGAAGAGCAAAGTAAGACAACGAATTCAAAACTCTGTGTTTTAGCTTATTCTCTACGCTGAATAATCAAAATGCATATTATACATTATTTTGCATGATTGTGGGTCCCTATAAACTCAATAAGGCAATAATGCAAAAGGGTTTACGTTCATGCTAATAAAAACTTGTGTAATTTAAAAAAGCAGCAGCGATAAACAAACTGTCCCAATTTGACGTGAATGAGTCTAAATTTGTTTTGTTAATTTTCTGCAGCGTTTGCTCCGAAGCAGGATAAGGCAACTCTAAAGGAGGAGGAGGATGCTTCTCAGCGACCGTTCAACTACGACGTCGTTGATGTCAGCAAGGGGTTCCTTACCCGTATCGCCTACAAGAGAAAGGTGAAGACCTCCAAGCTGGACGGCCTGCTGGAGCGCAGAGTGAAGCAGCAACTAATCGAAGAGGGTCGAAGACAGCAGCTTTCTGCATCCAAACCTCCGGGATCTCCAGCAGTTTCATCCTTGGTTCCTGCTCTGAGCACTCCAGTCCGGCCGCGGTCGCCGCTCAGGCCCCACGCTCTCGCACGGACACAGCTCACGCTGGAAGGAGCTGTGAAGGTGGAGGAAACTCCTTACGCACCACCTCCAGAGTCAGACGAGGCGGGAGGAAACACAGTTAGACTCCCTAAGGCTCCTCCTCCCCCTGTTTCAGACTCAACACCCACAGGCAGTTGCAATACAGGCGCAGGTGAAAACTCAGGTTTGCCTCTTGATCAAACCACCTCGATGCACCAAGAACTGGAGGAAAGGACTACACGGCTCAAGGAAACCAGTTCAGAAGGTTTAGATCAAGAGGCCGTCAGGCTGTCTGATGTGAGCAAGTCAGAATCTGCGGAGGTTGGAAGCTCTTTAAAGCAACTTATAGCTTCTGTTACATCAAATGTAACCAGGGCTGAACGTGCTGGAAATGCAGGGTCTGACTTTGTAAAAACACACTGTAGTGTTCAGAAAATCGGTGAAAACACGTTTCACTTTAAACCTGTTGAGAAAAACCCAGAAACTGTGAGCTCTGGGCTTTCTGGCTCAGAGGGAAATGGCTTAGGACCAGAGCAGAACCAAGTAAGCACACAGGACTTTGGATACAATGGGACCGTCTCTGAGGGCACTTCCAAGCCAGTTTCCCCTCTGCCTCAGGTAAATGGTAACGATGGCTTGGAAAGTGAACGCGTTTTGAGTTTAAATAACGGCGTGCTCACTGACAGGCCTCAGCCGCAGCTGAACAACATCGGTAAAGCTGAGGAACCAAAGATGGCCGTCTCGCTGAAAGACGGCTCGCAGCAAAAGCCGTTTGTGAATGGAGACTCGGCTCCTGTAAATGACATCGTAGCCGTTAAGGAGCCGTCTTTGGATTCTGACGTAGAAGGAAAGGTAACGATGTTGGACCAGGATTATGAGCCTTCGACTAAAATGACGAAGCTCGAGACAGACCCAGTTGGAGCTCGGTGCATTCTGCAGAACCACAACTCCTCAGCTTTTAACACCATGAAGCCCAAGTCCGTGCCTGTGGTTAAGATCATACGAATGGCTCCTTCTCCTGTTCCTTCAGCAGAGGAGTCCAGCCTGAGCGACGACTTTAACGACGAAAACAGCAACAGTGGTTCGACGGAGCCATTTCGGACCATCGTCACCCAGGTAACCTCAACCTCCACCACAACCGTCGTCTCCACTGAGATGAAGATTTCCAAAGTGCCGCTGAAAGCATCCAGCGAGTCTACGTCGCCCGTGGCGTCAATGGAGGCCAGCGCCGTCTCTACGCTCTCTACTATGACCAAAACAACAGTGACCAAAATTTGTTCCTCTGGACTCGATGGTCCTTTGGACAGCCAGAGTGGGTTAGTGACGCGGGAACAGAGAACGACACAATCAGCCTGCTTCCTGGAGTCTGCGACTGACACCCGGGGGAAAACTACCATCTCCTCTGTCGCTGGGAGCCAGGAAGAATGTTCATCAACGAAGGGCTGCGTGAGACTTCTCAAATTCTCCCGCATGAAGAAAATGCGCTCAGATACGGCGCTTCCTTCTTACCGCAAGTTTGTCACCAAGAGCAGCCGGAGGAGTATCTTTGTTCTGCCCCATGATGACTTGAAGGTGTTGGCGAGGCGGGGCGGATTCCGCGAGGTTCCCGTTTTCAGTTACAACGCCAAGCCGGCTCAGGATATCTGGCCTTATCCGTCACCTAGACCCACATTCGGCATCACTTGGAGGTAACGTCGCTCATTCTTTTACCCATCACCATTGGCCAAAGCATAATTTCACTGAATTACCCTGTTCCATCCTGATCTCTGTGCTCTGTACAGTGAATCAGAAAGGTTTGTTCTCAAGACCATAAAAGTAACAATTAATTTGCAGTTTTGAAACTGGGATATTTGAAAGGGAAATGCAAAGGCTGACATATTTTTAAATGTAATTTGGCCTTAGATTTTGTAACGGCTTGTTATTATTTAGTAGGGATGTAAGAAAATATCGATCTACGGAAATATTTTGATCTTTTGTGGTGTGATACTGAGTCGATGTTTAAAGGTGTGGTTTAGTCGTGTATTCGTTACATTTGCAGTGTTCTCTAGTGTAATTCAATGCCTTATGAATCATTTTTTAAAAAAAGCCATGATGCTCCTGTGAGGTGCAGAGGTTTGCCGGGGCGGGGGGGGGGGGGGGGGGGGGGATGGGGGGGGGGATTGCACATTATTATTAAGGATATCCACACACCTTGCTTCTGATTGGCTGACAACCCGTTCTGCCTTGTTGCAAAGTAGGGCTGCTCGATTATGGCAAAAATAATAATCACGATTATTGTGACTGAAATTGAGATCTCGATTATTTAAGACGATTTTTCAATTTATGTTGATTTTATTTGTTTTTATTCAGTCATAAAATTGCTCAGGGATCAATCAGGACAAAAATAAATAAGAAACAAGATGATCACTAAAATAACTCCTGATTCCCAGTATAAAAAGACCAATATACTTATAGCTATGACCCAAGGGCTATAGACCTTGGTTTAACTCATTTAAGCCTAACCAGTACAGACCCAAATACCAATATCTTGCAAATACTGACAGCAAGAATTATACAGCAGGCCTTTTCTAACAAATAAATGCAAATAAATTGATGTTCACAAAATGTTGCATAACATTTATTTAGTCGTGTCAAGGTGCTGTAGGAGCGTGCACTAGCACCGTGTCCTCAGAGAGATTAGTTATTATTTATCAGTGTGACGAACTTATTTCTACCTTATTTATAAACTATTTATTTACAAGTCCATCAGTTAATGTAATAATTGTCCCAACCACAGCTGCACCCCCCACCCCCCAAACCCGGTCTCACAGCAATCGGGGCAAGCTGCACGTGTGTTTAGCGCGCCGCACATTTAGCCTTTTTAGCGGCTCAGGAGCCCGCAGGTACTCACTCTGGTTAATCCAACAGGGAGCCGGCTCTGAGAGCCGTTTCTTTAGCGACTGACACATCACTACGTCATTCCCTTTCCTAATGTCCTGAAGAACGGTCCGGAGCGCAGACGGAGTGTTTAGCTAACCTGCAGGAAATGTCAACGACAGTTATCCAGAAAGTAGCTAAGGGTTACCAGAGATGATTCTGAGGTGTTCGCTAGGTACTTTTAAGATTTAAAAAGTCAAGAAGGGGGTCTGAAAAGCTGTTGGAAATAGCGTCAAAGTCGCCAAGTTGGCAACAAGGGAGGAGCGCTTCATTTGCAACTCAGGCAGCTCAAGTGGGAGGAGCAAATAATCGGCTTGTTTTGTTTTTATAATCGTTCAAAACTCGGATCGTAATTGGGATTAAAATTCGATTAATTGAGCAGCCCTATTGCAAAATCACTATCATCAACACACTCTCCGCGCTCTCCTCTCTGCAAAAAGCCAAGAAGGGCGAGGCCGTGAATGCTAACTTATAGTGTGACATCACAGTGTGAGGATTTTGTAATCCTTACATTTCACCATCTATCTTCTACCAGAGGCTAATGCAGGAGATTGGTGTTTGAGACTGTTTTCACGTCTGCATGAAAAACTCTGTGACCGATTATGATCAGAAATCATCATTAAAAGTGTTTTTTCAGTCAACTACACCTTCAAACACAGTTTATCTCTTTTACTGAGAATTTACATTCAAACATCGAGTGTACTCCGACTGCTAGCTGGCAGCAATTTTTAATAAAGAGTTTTCTAATTAAATTCAGCTTTAAAATAGCAAATATCATCTGGCTTTTAGTCTTGTCTCTCCTGTATTGTGATGCATCGCTCACCAGATTCTTGCCAACACACTCCTGTTATTTAGTATTTGCAAAATGCTTCTGAAACCAAGCATGCAGGCTCTTTTAAACAAACTCTTGTTTTGAGACTCATCAGTTAAAATCTAACAAACATTTATGAGAACGTTGGGAAGAGTTTCTTTGTCAGAGTCACTCATCCTGAGTTGATTATCGATCACGTCTCTCCTCGCCGAGTGCCGTTTGTGGTTTTGGCTCTGGGTGACGCTACAGCTCCTCAGTCTGGTGTCACTCTGGAACCTCTGCATTTTTTTTTTATTTAGGCCAGATCTCCAAGTCCCAGCAGACATGAATCATCTGGTGGTCAGAGAGGTGTCATGATGTTCACTTTATGTACTGACCAAGCCCTGCAGCCTGTGCACATTTTTCCATCTGTGGTTAAACATGGAAAAGTGAATATCTCCTAACACACACACACACACACACACACACACACACACACACACACACACACACACACACACACACACACACACACACACACACACACACACACACACACACACACACACACACACACACACACACACACACACACACAGTCACAGCCTTGTCGTAACAATGTTTCTGTCGATGTTTGGGATGTGCTAGCCATGTTTCAGAGCCAAAGTCATCATCTGAAAGCATTCCTGGCTTTTATGGTTCAAACAGAAAATATTCTTTTTTTAATTATTCACTCTACAAATGGCCTCCTGTCACTGTAAATTCAAACATAAGCAAATAAAACAGTTTAATTTCATATTGTCTGCACACCCAGACTGGTGCGTGAAATGGTTTATTTTCAACAAAAACCACTGGAAACGCTCATAAAAGGACAGCCGTGTGTTTTCATCTGCCTTTTCCTGTACCGTCATTGTGTCATAATTAGTTTTCTGTAACTCTTGAGCAATTACAACAACGATGAACAGCAGAAACTATTACACCGGTTATGTGGGGATCTGGAAATGTTTACTTGTTTATGACTAATACTTCCTCTGGGCGTGACATCCAGGTACCGGCTGCAAACGGTCAAGTCCCTGGCTGGAGTGAGCATCATGCTGAGGCTCCTGTGGGCCTGCCTGAGGTGGGACGACATGGCCGTGAAACCTTCTGCTGCTGTTGGCACCACGCGTACAGGTACCAACCCGTCCAGTAAACAGTCCTGAAAAACCTGTAAACGTATCAACTGTAATATGTGCTTTATTTTAACTTATATTCAACATCAGATGCATCTGATGCTTTTTCCCAACGTGACCATCTAAAGAGTTGTTACATATGTTTTGTTTTACCTCCTTACGTCTGTTTTGACCCACAAAGTAAATCCGAGCGAAGTGACTGCTTCTCACTTTTCCTAAGTTGGAGTGCATTTCCTCCATATTTTTTCTGGCGGTCTCATCCTCACCACCGTACCAACCCAGCCCTATCCCCACTCATTGCCACAGAAACATCCGACACTGAAATCACCACCACCGAGATCATAAAGCGGCGCGATGTGGGACCCTACGGCATTCGCTCGGAATACTGCATCCGCAAAATCATCTGCCCCCTGGGAGTTCCTGAGACGCCAAAAGGTAGAAATGCTAGTTTTGTCTTTGAGATAAAGATCTCCTTCCAGGTTGCTTTGTTGTGTTTAAGATTTTTTAAATATCTATTGTTCCAGAAACACACACTCCTCAGAGGAAAGGCCTACGCTCTAGCGCCTTGCGCCCCAAGAAGCCGGAGCCCGCCAAACAGACGGGTCCAGTGGTGATTGAGACGTGGGTTCCTGAAGAGGAGCTGGACCTCTGGGAGATACGAGCCTTCTCAGAAAGGTCAGCGGTCCTCAGGAAACATGTGACCTGGGCTTCCAACAGATTCTTAGGTGGCTCATAACTAGGGATGCACAATATATCGAAAAATTATCGTCATCGCGATAACAGGAAGTGCGATAGGCCCATTTCAAAGCACGTCAAAAACGGCGATAAATGTTTGGTTCAAACATTTCCATCCGTGTCATACATCAACTTTTTGTAAACCAGCTCTGTTTTTTACGCGAAAGTATTGTAGCGGGCCAGGGCTGTTCGGGGTTTGTTCTGTTATTGCAGTTATGTGTTTGTTGTCATGTTGCTATGGTGACGGGTGACGCGCTCTCTCGGCGACTGTTTTTCCGGTGAGAGCGCGCCTTTTTGTTGTTGTTGCTGTGTCCGCGCTGAGGTGTGTAGATTAAACGGGTGCTCCCAAAGAAACCTCTGTCTCCTCCGTGACTGAGCTTGCCACATTGGTGTCAGAAGTGGGATACTCACCCTCGCCGTAATGGAGAGAGACATTCGGAGGCTGGAGCAAGCGATTGAGGAAAACATTACCCGTCTGGAAAGCTGGCGATTGAAGAGAGAAGACATGAGCGGCCGTGTAAGCTCCCCGGTGGGTCCCGATGGCGCGAGCGCACCGAGACGGCGGCCCGTCGCGACCGACGCTAGGGCAATGCGTGATGGGCTGCCTCCGTCGGCCGACACACCGGGCCCCCGACAGCGAGCAGTGGTGCCTGCAACGCCAGCTAAAGTACCGAAGTATAACGGGTTAACCCCGCTAGAGCCCTACCTCTCACAAGTACGGCTAGCCGCGAGACATAATGGCTGGAGTGACGGCGAGGCTGCTACACACCTAGCGCTAGCATTGGAAGGAGATGCACTGCAGGTACTCCTCGACCTAGCCGCGTCAGAGCAGCATGAGCTCCAGGCCCTCACCACAGCACTCGAGAGACGATTTGGGCAGCGGCACTCCACTGATCAGAGCAGGGAGCAGCTGACCAACCGGAGCCGTAGGCCGGGGGAGAGCCTGGGCACCTTTGCAGCGGATGTGTTGCTGTATGCCCGTCGTGGCTACCCAGAGTTCCCAGCAGCAGCCCGGGAGGAGCTTAGCCTGCATGCTTTCCTGCGAGGACTTTTCCCAGAGCGACTGCGCCTACACGTCCGCCTGGCCATGCCTCAGACTCTCAGTGAGGCGCTCCTCCAGGCTGAAAGGGCTGAGCTGGTGCTCGCCTCTCCACCCCACCAGCAGGTGCCCTCCCCAAGCTACCCTCAAATCAGAGCCGCAGACTGCGACGAGGAGGGGGCGGTCGCAGAGATATGTCAGCTGCGGCCCTCGGTGCCTCGGAGGCGTCCTCGTCGTCCACTGACCGCTGTTACCGGTGCGATGAGCCTGGCCACGTGGCGCGAGACTGCCCGGCACCTGCCCCATCGGTCAGAACTCCAGGGACTCCGGGAAACGGGGTGGGAGCGGTGTAGTGAGGGGACCACCGCCCCAGCTTCCTGCCCCCCTCCAAGGACGATGCACAGTGGTGGGCCGGGTTGGGCACCTCAAGGGACTCTACCTGAGCTGCTGCATTGAGGGCCAGCCATGCCAGGCCCTGGTGGACACGGGGTCTACCATCTCCCTGATACGACCTGGCGTGCTCCCTGGAACATCCGGGTTGTTGGTGGAGGGTTGGACGCCTACCGACACCCAGCTGATGACTGTGACGGGGGAGAGAACTGATATGCGGGGAAGAAACTGTTGCAGATCCGAGTGAGGGATCTGGAGCTGATTCACGACTTCTGGCTGGCTGACATTCAAGACCAGTGCATCATCGGCCTTGATCTGCTGACCCGCTGGGGGGCCTGCGTTGACACCGCAAAGCGGGCTCTCACTCTTGGAACAGAGACTCTCACCCTCCAGTGCGGGCAAAAGCAGGGAGCGGGGGGGGACCAGAGACAGACGTCAGGCAGCTGCCGCTCAGCAGATTTCGGGTGCCAGTGGGTCCGGGTCATCTGTACTCACCGCAACCCCGGCCCCTCAGCCTAACAAATCTCCCTCGACCGAAACAGCCGAGGCTGTTGGTGACCTGTGGCAGCGCAGCAGCGTGGGTCTCAACGGTGATCAGCGCCAGCGGTTGAGGTGCCTCCTGGATGAGAATGTGGACATCTTTGCTGCCAGTGATAAAGACTGCAGGCAGACAGGGCTGGTCCAGCACACTATTGACACCGGCTCTGCCCAACCTATCCGTCTACGCCCGCACCGGCTGCCCCTCTCAAAACGGCAGGTGGCGGAGGAAAAGATCCGTGAGATGGCTGCAGCTGGGGTGATCGAGCCGTCCAACAGCCCATGGGCGGCACCCGTGGTCCTGGTGGGGAAGAAGGATGGCAGCCCGAGGTTCTGTGTGGACTTTCGCCGTCTCAATGCAGTCACCAAGAAGGACTCATACCCGCTTCTGCGGATCGACGAAGCCCTGGATTATGTCTGCGGCTCCAGCTGGTTCAGCTCCCTCGACCTGCGCAGTGGTTACTGGCAGGTGGAGCTAGCCCCCGAAGCAAGGCCTAAGACTGCATTCACCATTGGCCAGGGGCTGTGGCAGTTCAGGGTCATGCCCTTTGGGCTCTGCAATGCACCAGCGACGTTTGAGAGGCTGATGGAGAGGGTGCTCGTGAACATCCCTCGTAGCCGCTGTGTTGTGTACCTGGATGACCTGTTGGTACATGGTGGCGACTTCGACAGTGCACTGTCCCACCTGAGCGAGGTCTTCGGTGCCATCCGTCGAGCCGGGCTGCGGCTCAACCCTGCGAAGTGCCGGCTGTTGACGAGAGAGACTACATTCTTAGGCCATGTAATCAGCGCGCAGGGTATCGCCACCGATCCCGCTAAGGTGGCGGCGGTCCGGGATTGGCCGACCCCCTCGAACGTCAAAGAACTGCGGAGCTTCCTGGGCCTAGCCTCTTACTACCGTCGGTTCATTAAGGGGTTCGCAACAACAGCCAGCCCCCTCCACCGCTTAACCGACAAGGGCCAGCCATTTGGCTGGAGTGATGCCTGCGCTGCGGCTTTCGCACAGCTGAAGGAGGCCCTCACCAGAGCCCCAGTCCTGGCCTACCCTGACGCCCAGCAACCCTTCATTGTGGACACTGACGCTAGCAATGTAGGAGTTGGGGCGGTCCTTTCTCAGCAGGGCGATGCTGGAGAACAAGTGGTGGCATACTTCAGCCGAGCGCTGGGGCGAGCCGAGAGGAACTACTGCGTGACCCGGCGGGAGCTGCTGGCCGTGGTACTAGCAGTGCGGCACTTCCGGCCATATCTGCATGGCTGCCGGTTCCTCCTGCGCACTGACCATGCATCTCTGACTTGGCTCCTGAACTTCAAACACCCAGAGGGTCAGGTGGCCCGCTGGCTGGAGGTCCTTCAGGGTTACGACTTTGAGATCCAACATCGGGCAGGTCGACAGCATGGCAACGCTGATGCCCTCTCCAGAAGGCCCTGCATGGCCGTCGAGTGCCGCTACTGTCTGCGACAGGAGGAGCGGGTCCAGGAGGCGCTGGGTGTGGCTGCTGCTCAGGCCACAGCCAGCGGAGGGGGGTGGCTCCCATTGGCCCCACAGCAGCTGAAGAGGGAACAGGAGGCTGATGCGACGTTGGTGCAGGTGGGGGCCTGGCTGGAGGCAGCGCAACGCCCCGACTGGGGGGGGGGTGTCGGGACAGGAGCCCGAAGTGAAGGCCTATTACTCCCAGTACAACAACCTGGAGACCCACGACGGCCTCCTGTACCGGAGATGGCGGGCCCCCGGGCAGGGCAGAGATCTCCTGCAGCTGTTGGTGCCTCGGTCGTTGCGGTCGCAGGTGCTCGAGCTCGTCCACGGCTCGGTGGGGGCCGGCCACTATGGGAATGCCAAAACTCTCCGCCGTCTCAGAGGACGGTTCTACTGGCCTGGCTGTCGACGGGATGTGGAGCTTCATGTGCACTGTTGTGACACCTGCACGGCACAGAAAGGCCCAACTCAGCGCTCCTCTGCCCCTCTTCAACAGTACCTGGTGGGGGCCCCGATGGAGCGAGTGGGTGTGGACGTCCTAGGGCGTGTTGGTGGCCATGGATTATTTCACAAAGTGGCCGGAGGCCTACGCTGTGCCGGACCAGAGTGCGTCGACGACGGCGGAGAAGCTGGTGGAGGAGATGTTCACCCGGTTTGGGGTCCCGGCCGAGCTCCACAGTGACCAGGGGCGTAACTTCGAATCGAAGGTCTTCAAGGAGATCTGTCAGCGGCTGGGGGTGGAAAAGACGAGAACCACACCACTCCACCCGCAAAGCGACGGCTTGGTCGAACGCTTTAACCGTACGCTGGCCACCCAGCTCGCCATTCTCACCGGTTGCCACCAGCGAGATTGGGACCGACATCTGCCCCTGGTCCTTTGGTCGTATCGGACTGCGGTTCAGGAGTCCAGCCAGTGCACACCTGCCGCTTTGATGTTTGGGCGGGAACTCCGTACACCCGTGGATCTGGTGTTTGGGTCCCCCCCCGAGCCAGAGATTGACGGCGGGCCAGAGATGGACTACTACAGGAGGCTAAGGGAGCGGCTGCGGGTGGCTCATGACTACACCCGCCAGGCCCAGGCCAGCGCCGGAGTGCGACAGAAAAGAGCCTACGACACTAAGTGCCGGGGGAGGGGTTTCGCGCCTGGCGACAGGGTTTGGGTGTACTGCCCGGTTCGCAAGAGAGGAGTGTCCCCCAAACTCTGCAGTCACTGGCAAGGGCCGGCGGAGGTCGTGGAGCGGCTAACAGAAGTGGTGTACCGTGTTCGCATGCCGGGCCCGGGGCGCCTGGTGGTGTTGCACCAGGACAGACTCTCGCCGTATCGACCGCTCGCTCAGGCTGAGACCGGGGCAGGGGATGCTGGCAGCACCCCATGTTCTGACCCGAGTGACTTTTCCCCCGCCTGTCGAGACCGGCCGGTGCGCCAGAAGAAGGCACCTGGACGGTTGCAGGACTTTGTGTGGGGTAATGGGGTTGTCGGGGACGACTGACCCCTTAGGTGGGGGCTGTGTAGCGGGCCAGGGCTGTTCGGGGTTTGTTCTGTTATTGCAGTTATGTGTTTGTTGTCATGTTGCTATGGTGACGGGTGACGCGCTCTCTCGGCGACTGTTTTTCCGGTGAGAGCGCGCCTTTTTGTTGTTGTTGCTGTGTCCGCGCTGAGGTGTGTAGATTAAACGGGTGCTCCCAAAGAAACCTCTGTCTCCTCCGTGACTGAGCTTGCCACAGTATTATTTGACCAATCAAATGTAGCCTTTCTGATATGCGGCCAATCAGATGGGTCCGTTCACGTAATACACCCGCCCCCTACGAGCTGCCCCGCGCTGCTCGGCTGTGTCCATCCGAAGGTTGAGATGTTTGCCAGCCTTACATAACCTCTCTTGTTTTCGGCACCACCACTTCCTCCGCGCGCCGACACCGGAGCGTCGGAGACGGTGCTGCCGAGCGGAGCTTCCCGGGCTGCGCTTACTTTGGGCCGCCGTGCCGCCGCCTGGCTCACCCACTCCAGCACAGACTGTATCCCCAAAATTCCACTATCTCCGCTCCGCCCCCGCTTTCCGCTGCCGCTCGCTTCCCTTGTTCATCATGCTGGCTCAGATTAACGAACGCACTTTGTGCTGAGGTTTCTGGCTCCGGTTAGCTTCCAACTAAAAGGCTACAGCAGCACTCTCCTCCCAGTCCCACCCTGAGCTGCTAAAGAGGGCCTGGAAAAGTTCCCCCACACATCAAAGTGATTTTTCATTTATGAGCTTTTATAACCTGGTTAATCAGGATAGTTGGTTTGCTGCTGCACATAAACTGTCAGTCAGAAGCTCTGCTAGCCGCTTATCTTAGAGGAGCTAGTTCAATTTGTTAGCTTGTTATCAGAATCATAGTTGCAGTTTCATCATCTGAGCTGCTTTTTAAGATCTAGGTAAACTTGTTCAATTTGGGGTTAAAAACAAACGTTTTCGCATATTTTCCATGTATTTTTTTGCCAGTTCCTCTTCTTAAAGGTAGAAAATTGTTTTTCTCTTTCCCTCAGAAAATCTTAATAATCTCCTAGTTTGGCCCAGCACAGTTCACTTCCCAGTTACAGCAACAGTCTTATATCATAAACACATAAGTGGAGAAAATTCTCAGTAGCAATGAGAGAATTTGCTGTTGCATTTAAGTGATGTTAACTATTATTTATCATTTAAACTTACTTTCTGATATTTTTATTTATTCAAAAACCCTGGTAAGGGATGTTTTTCTGTATTTGGAGCATCAGAAAAAGTTTTATGGTGGTGGTGATGTTTTAAAGTCACTGAGAAACTGCATGCATGCAGTTTGTTGTTTTGCTGCTAATACAGTAGCAGGTGCAGCTGCTAATACAGTAGCAGGTGCAGCTGCTAATACAGTAGCAGGTGCAGCTGCTAATACAGTAGCAGGTGCAGCTGCTAATATAGTAGCAGGTGCAGCTGCTAATACGGTAGCAGGTGCAGCTGCTAATACAGTAGCGGGTGCAGCTGCTAATACAGTAGCGGGTGCAGCTGCTAATACAGTAGCAGGTGCAGCTGCTAATACAGTAGCAGGTGTAGCTGCTACTGTATTAGCAGGTGCAGCTGCTAATACGGTAGCAGGTGCAGCTGCTAATACAGTAGCGGGTGCAGCTGCTAATACAGTAGCGGGTGCAGCTGCTAATACAGTAGCAGGTGCAGCTGCTAATACAGTAGCGGGTGCAGCTGCTAATACAGTAGCGGGTGCAGCTGCTAATACAGTAGCGGGTGCAGCTGCTAATACAGTAGCAGGTGCAGGTGCTAATACAGTAGCGGGTGCAGGTGCTAATACAGTAGCGGGTGCAGCTGCTAATACAGTAGCAGGTGCAGGTGCTAATACAGTAGCAGGTGCAGCTGCTAATACAGTAGCGGGTGCAGGTGCTAATACAGTAGCGGGTGCAGCTGCTAATACAGTAGCTGCTAATACAGTAGCGGGTGTAGCTGCTAATACAGTAGCAGGTGCAGCTGCTAATACAGTAGCGGGTGCAGGTGCTAATACAGTAGCGGGTGCAGCTGCTAATACAGTAGCGGGTGCAGCTGCTAATACAGTAGCAGGTGCAGTTGCTAACACAGTAGCGGGTGCAGCTGCTAATACAGTAGCAGGTGCAGCTGCTAATACAGTAGCGGGTGCAGCTGCTAATACAGTAGCGGGTGCAGTTGCTAATACAGTAGCAGGTGCAGCTGCTAATACAGTAGCGGGTGCAGCTGCTAATACAGTAGCGGGTGCAGCTGCTAATACAGTAGCGGGTGCAGCTGCTAATACAGTAGCGGGTGCAGTTGCTAATACAGTAGCAGGTGCAGCTGCTAATACAGTAGCGGGTGCAGCTGCTAATACAGTAGCAGGTGCAGCTGCTAATACAGTAGCAGGTGCAGCTGCTAATACAGTAGCAGGTGCAGCTGCTAATACAGCAGCAGGTGCAGCTGCTAATACAGTAGCAGGTGCAGCTGCTAATACAGTAGCAGGTGCAGCTGCTAATACAGTAGCGGGTGCAGCTGCGTGATTTTGCAATAAAAATGTTATGTTGTAATGGAATTCATGCATTAGTTTTTGTTTGCTTTAACCCCAGAGCAGACGTCACACGCCAGACGACATCAACACTGCATACTTTAGTATTTGTTCATTTATCGTGAGTAATATCGATATCGCAATATTAAGCACTGTTATCGAATATCGCAGGTTTTCCTAATATCGTGCAGTCCTACTCATAACGTAACAGTCATGTTTTCCCCACGAGCTCAGCGGCACGGCTCTTCCTCTAAACAGAGTTTTACGTGCGACACGGCAGCAAAAGCGTTCCACGCAGCGGTTCACGCGTGATTTCGGCAGTTCACGTGATAACTAGCAAGGAGGTAGACAACAGCGTGCATCCAAAAAGCTTTGATTCATTTTTGGTTCTGTTTACCTCGGCCATGGAGGTTTCACACGTCTTGACTTTTATTTTTCTCCTAGTTAAGCATCTGGAAATCCGTGCGGCTTTTATTTTGAAAGGTTCCGGATGTTTTACACTGTTCTCCTGTTTGACTTCCTGTCTGGCTCTGTCTGAACTGCTGAGCGTTCTGTGGGTGTGGCACGTAAAAAACGGAAGTGTAAACTTAATGCTTCATGTGCGGCGGAAACGCATTCATCCTCAGAAACGGAGGCCGTTTGCTGCGCATCATCTTCATGGATGTTATGCGACCGACTCACAACAAGCCAAACTCCAGAGTCACACAAACACCTACAGCCGTGTCATTTACTGCTGTTTTCTAGTTAAACGTCATCTGATCGTGCCAAACTCGTATTTAGTGATTTTGTTTTTAAAGCAGCTTTATGTTGATGCTCAGTTTTTTATAATTAATTTATCTGAATTATTGCAAGTCTTAATGGTTTTTTTTCTTTCAACAGAGTTGAGAAAGAGAAAGCTCAAGCAGCAGAGCAGGCGAAGGTGAGTCACTGTCAAAATGCATTTTTATTCATAAATAGTTTATGTCGGTGGGATTTAGAGAAATCTACAAATTTAAGGAGTGACTAATGTCAGAGGTTCTTTTTACCGGGTGTTCAGTATTCTAGTAT